CAAGGTCTCTCTGTTTGGCTGGGGGTCCTCCTCCACTATCTGAGAATCCACGCCTGCAATTAAAAATGCTCAGTATCAACGAAAATTAAGATAAATATTTACCCTTAGCAAGATAATTTCATTGAATTAAAAAAAAAAACCTCTTCCAATCACAACCTCAAATGGGCATCCACTCCAAGATGCTTTTTAGCACTTTTTTAAAAATATAAAAATAAATTAAGTGTACAGAAAATGGGTAATGTATTCTTCAGTCTCTAGTTTTGCATATAAATGAAGTTCCAAGATAACTACATAGGAAACTATAGCTGATCACAGTTTAAACAAAGCAAACACAAACATATCTAATGTGGGCTCTACCACCGATTTTGTTTAAACCTATAGTTAATTTAGTAAAAGTATCTACCGTCTTAGCATAAAAATTAAGTCCTAAGAAGTCTTACCTCAGCAATAAACTACCACGTCCTCTACCTCCACCAGGACCAGAAAGGGCCAGCAATCTGGCTTGGATGGGCCTAAAAGATATTTACAGATTGTATGAAAATCATGCTTGGACTTATTTAATGTCACCAAATACTTTCACGGATGCGGTACATCATAAAGAGAAAAATAACCAGAAAAGTTCTAAAAATACGGTTTCAAATCCACGTGCCTCAAACAAGACAGGAAGTCCTATTTTAACTTCTTTGTTTTTTCAAGACCATTATCACAGAAATTGTATTTACTTCGTTGCCACTACACATTAATAAGCTTGGATCAGACCCTAATTTCGTCAACTCCGAAGAAGTTGCACGTGGGAAAGAGGACAAATGCTTGGGTGAGAAGCAGCGGACAACGTCCCAGGAGGGTCTCCGGGCCAATACCCGGTCAGGTAGCCGCCGGTTGGGGAAGGGGCTTTGTGCAGCAGTTCCGGGCCTGCAGGGCCGAGGGCGGGAATCGCAGGCCCGGCCTTCCTACAGGCCAGAAGACATGCCGGCGTAGCTAGGACCCACCTGCCTTCCTCTTGCACTTGAGCTCCGAGACCTACGTCGAGGGCGTGGAAGACTCCCCAACCCATCCAGGACGGGGTTCTACTGCCGCCCCCGGGACAGGCCCCGATGTTCTAGCCTTCTCAAGGCTAGCCGCCCTTCCCGCCCCCATTTCACCCCGGCATGATGGCTGTCTCTCGGAGCCAGCCTGTCTTATCCACTTCTTACCTCACGTCATTCGGATCCCGTCCGGTGAGCTTGCGAATATTCTCATCTACGTTCTTTAGGCTCTCTTTGGCCTTTTCTAGCTGCTCCTGCAAAGTTCTCACCGCGACCGCCATCTTCTCTCTGCAGCAGGCTTCGAGACTGCTCTACAGGCCGCGCCTGGCTCTGTCGCGCCGCGAGACGCGAGAGGACTGACAGCAGGGTCCAGCCAATGACAATAAGCGTTGTTTTGCGGCCTCAACCACTCAGTGTCCGGAAGAGGGAGAAGCTGCCGGCCTCTGTGACTCTGTGCCAATGAAAAGTCTTCTGAGCGGCTGACTCCCTCCCCCAATTAGCTGCTGTGGCCGGGCTCCGTTTCTAGCGCAGAGCCTGGGCGCACTTGAGAGGCTCTGGGGTTTTCGGAGACGCCGCCTCGCTCGCTTGCTCTTGCGGCGCGGAGCGCGGAGTCTTCCAGCCCTTTTAAACTGGGATATGACGTGCCTTGTATCTTTTTTAACCACCTAATTACATCAGAGTGGGATGGAGGCGAGTCTTTTCCCCTCCTGCCGTGTAAAATATCAGATTAAGAAAGGGTGCGGCCATTCTGTCGGTGCGCATGCCCGGGGTGGGGGTGAGGGGGCGCCGGCGTCCCTACATTGGGTTAAACCAAAACGAGCAGAGGGAAGCAAAAAATGAACATGAAAAGTCAATCGTAATAGCTAACAATTTTTTTTTCGATACCGTATGAAACGTTTTATATACCTTGTCTCAACTCAAAGCTTGAATAAAATGCGTATTATTACTGGTAAGGAAATTGAATATGGACATAAGGGTAACTCCCTAGGTCAAGGTAGCTGAGAATCACTATTTGATCAGACCCTGTGCAAGGGTGTACTAAATGAAAAAAGCTTAGATGAGACTGAGACTGGCATTATCGTCTACACCTGGCCTCTACCGCTGGTTAGTTTAAGATGGGGTCTAGAGTAGCGGCTCTATTGTTACTTGTGCATATGCGACAGAGTGTCCTGTGGTTCTGTTCTTTGTACATGGCCAACAAGAACCATTTTGTTCCAGAAATGCATTTGCAAATTACAGCTCAAAAAGCATTTCCTCATAGAAACAGTGCTATGAATAATCTTAGTTCTCATCTTTTAGTCGGGCCTCAAGCTTGCACCAATCATTAGTGGGACAACAGTATTTAACTGGTTACCATCTTAATTCATCTCTTTAAAAGTTCCTTTGTGGATCAGCAGTAATCTAGGCTCTGAGGATAAAACCTTGAACAAGATCGCTGTGGTTCCTGTTTGTGGGGTTTGTAGGCTCCTCGGGGAGCAAAAATCATTCATGTACTCATTCATTCATTCACTGTATTTGCTGAGCGCTTACTGTGTGCCAGGCATTTTTCTAGGTACTGGGATAGTCAGTGCAATAAAGATCTCTGTCTTCAAGGAGCTTGGGGAAAAAGTATGGAGACACAGGATAAATAAGTAAGTTACATGGCATGTTGGAAATGGAGAAATTCTATGGAAAAAAAATAATGGGTAAAGGGGATAAGGGTTGATAAATAATAGTAATTCTGATTAAAAGCATACTTAGTCTCATTGATCCTTACTCTAACACTGTGTAATAGACTAAACATAAAGGATGAGAATGTGGTAATAATAGATCCCAACCACCAAATGTAATACCCTGGTTTTTCTGCAGATCCTATAAATCTTTCCCCCTTTACAACCACCAAATATAACAGTGTTTCCATGGGAAAATGCTTTTAGAGGCAACCAGAAACAGGATCTTTTCCTGCTTGGGTAGGACGTACTACTAGAATCCTGGGCAATTTAACATAGCTTTATGGGGGAGAATTAGGGGGGTTTTGTGTTCAACATTTAGCAGATGCTCAATAAATACTTGTTTCCCATCAATTCCAAAATATTCTAAGAACACCATGTTGTTTGAGAAATCAACCTTAGTAAGTTGGTCAGTTGGTTACTCTTTTACCTCAGTTGTGCGCTTGGACTCCTTTTCCTTAATGATGAAGGGAAAAATGCAGTCAGGACATAAGGGACATGATTTCAAATAAGGGAAATTTGGGTGCTGGAAAAATTAAGATCATGTTTGCAAAATAATCTCTGAATTGCACTAATGTTATTAAATAACAATTCAACAGTAAATTGTAAAGTTATAATTAGCTTTATTAATTGATTCATGAATTGGGCAGCATTCCATCTAGCAAGCAGAGGGGGAGCTCCAAAAGGCTACAGAAAGGGAGATATTTTTACGGGTAAGACAAGGAAGTCATAAAGAGAAAAAAGGATTATTTCAGGTAAGGTCACCTTCCTTTGGGGACAAGAGGGTCTTATTAGGTGTATTACCTCCTCATCTACCTTTGGGGGTTGGAGAAAGCCTCTGTGACCTTATTGGCATAGACCAGAAAAGTTTACTTACCAGTTACCTCTACGTTTCCAGTGGAGAAAACTGCAATTAGGTTAAGCATTAAGCTCCAGTTTGATGACATGGGCTAGCATTAATGACTCTATTTTGGGCCTGTGGTTTTCTTTTTAACACTGTTTTCAAAGGCTAGGGGGAATGTATATGTGATGATCAAAAAAAACTGATGCAAATATTAGAAGGGACATGTTTTTTAAAAAAAGAAAAAAAAAGCTGTCATTATTACAATTACGGAAGATGATCTTAGTTTTTTTGAAGATTTTATTTATTTGAGAGAGTGAGCTCAAGCAGGAGCAGAGGGAGAGGGAGGAGCAGAGTCCCCGCTGAGCCGGGATCATGACCTAAGCCAGAGGCAGACACTTAACTGACAGAGCCACCCAGACAACTCTGGAAAATGATCTTAAATTCCTGTGAAAGAATATGGAGAGTTGAGAGATTATTGTTAACAACTAGAGAAAATTCAATATGTAAACTTGGGGGAAACATTTAATTAAATATATTAATATCACAAGGGAAAAAATCTTCCTTGTGAATTACTAAGAAAAGAATCAATCATAAGCTAAGCAACACCTTTAAGTCAGAGTTTGCCAAATTTAGAAGGTGCTTATGTATGTGTTTGCATCTTTGTAGGAGTTAAATCCCACATCTCCCATAGATCCTTTATTTTTAAGATTTTATTTGTTGATTTGTCAAAGAGAGTGCACACACAAGCAGGGGGAGCTGCAGGCAGATGGAGAAGCAGCCTCCCTGCTGAGCAAGGAGCCCAATGTGGGACTTGATTCCAGAACTCTGGGATCATGACCTGAGCCACCCAAGCGTTCCTGCTGTAGATTCTTATGAGCTACTTCCCACAGTGAGGTCGCTCTTCTGTTCTTTCGCACTTTTTCATGCACCTAATCGTCTGGTTCTGTATTTTGTTTTAAATGTACCTTGCCCTTTGCTTACTTCATCCCCCTTAACTTATACCTGACTCCCAGTAAACTTTTTGGTGGCCAAAATGACTAAATCTTTTGCATACCCAGATTTAATCCACAATGGATTGGGATAATTTCTTAATATAGCTAAACTTCATAGCCTGAAAAATGATTTACTCATTTACTCTCTTTACTCTTCCTATTGAGGAACACACGGCAGAAATGAAAGCTTTTGATGAAGCTAATTCTTGGCAGTGCTAACGTATAGCTAGTTAACACACATTTCAGCAGGCGCTCCTTTGTCTTATTTTACCCCTTCACACTTCCTCCTTTGCCCCCCGAAGTCATTTGTGAGAGGAAACTTCCCCACGTCTGGGTGCGAACCGTTGAACCTAGAGAAGTAATTCTGTGGCCATAGAGCTGGCGGAAGGCCGGGATAGACGGGACCGGAAGTTGCTTTTCCGCCCCCCGCCCAGGGGCCGGAAAGGGTCTCGGCTGGCTCTGTTTGTTTCCGGGTGCTGTCAGATTGTGTTGTTGGGCCTGAGGGCTTAGTGGCCCTGGAGTGGGCTCGTCCCGGTACTGGACTCACGCTTGTACCAGGCTTGGGGACGCGGAGCGAGTTTTTCGGTCTCCTAGCAACCAGGAACTGGCTGTGGACTGAAGGAGTCGCGGAGCCGGCGTCCAAATCGCTCAGGCGCTAGCCGGAACCTTTGAGCCCGACCCAAACCAGAGCCGAAACCCCGCGTTTGGAAGACTAAGCAGGAAATGGCGGACGAGGCGTTGTTTTTGCTTCTCCATAACGAGATGGTGTCTGGAGTGTACAAGTCCGCGGAGCAGGGGGAGGTGGTGAGTGCTGCCAAAAGCCCTTGAGGTGCTCGCTTCCACAGCACATATACCAAAAGCCCTTGAGGTCCTTTTGCGGTGACATTCTTTGTTTTCTCTTAGTTCTTTCCTTCAGCCCTTGTCCTATCGCCCCCGAAGGCCCTCCAAAGTGTAGACAAACTTGTCCACTGCCAAGTATCCTACGCCTAAAATCTGTCAGCTCTCTTCAGTCTTTCATCCTTTTCATTTTTGCATATTGACTTTTTTTTTTTTTTTTTTTTTTTTTGCCCATTCTCATATCTGATTCCTGCAGGTCACAGATTTTCTTACTTTTAGCGTTGTCGCTACCATGATTTATGGCATGGTTAACTGCACAGCTGGTTTTGGCACCCTTACTTAATTCTGTCACTCCAGCACTACGGAGCCATCCACTGGACAGAGTTGTGAAACTACCCTCAGCTCCTATCCATAATCATCAGTATTATTGCACGCACCTCTCAAACAGAAGGGTAATGCGATTTGAGATTAAAGGGAAATTTGCAGGCGTTACTATAATTAGGAAACAAATTTAATTAAAAAATTAGTTATTTAGTGCCCATTATAAGTCAGAGGTAGTTCTGCATGCTGGCGGTATAGTAATGAAACAATGACCCCATTCTCCAGGGGATTACTTAGAATTTGTGGGAAACATCATTTATTCATAAAATATTTATTAAGTGTTTATTGTGAGCCTGATATTGTGTTAAATGAGATCAACCCCCCACCTCATAGTCATTGGGAAATAGGTGTCAATGAATAATTAATGTATTAGGTGGTAATTAGGTATAAAATCACGGAGTTCTAATGAATATTATAAATTGGATATTCCAAAGTCATATTTAAGTCAGAAGCCCTCTCTATGATGCTGTTGATCAAGAAGGGTGGACAGTGGGGGAAGGGAAAGCATCTCAGGAAAAGGTAAAGGCATAGGGGTATGATGAAAGAGTGTAGAGCATTTAAATATGCTTAAGTATTTCACTGTGACTAGACTGAATGGATGGAGAGTGAGAAATGTTGAGAACTGAAGCTGGAAAGAGCCCTGTATGCTGTATGATTAAAGAATTTGACATTAGCAGTGGGGGTGTTTTTTGTTTGTTTTTGTTTTTAAGAGCTAGAGCATGAGCTTGGTGGGGGGGGGCGGGAGAGAATCTTAAGCAGACTCCACACAGTGCAGAGCCATATGTGGGGGCTTAGTCTCATGACCCTGAGGTCTTGACCTGAACCAAATGAAGAGTTGGACACTTAATCGCCGGAGCTCACCCATGTGCCCCAGTGGAGAATTTTAAAGAGGGGAATGATGTGGTCCATTTGCATTTTAGAAAGATAATCCAGTGTTTAGGTTGGAGAGAGAAGATCCTTGTAGTGGAAAGATTCATTATTTCAGGAGATGATGAAGATCTGAACTAAGATCTGAGATGATGAAGATCTGAACTAAGAAAAGGAGAGAATAGTTTGAAAGTTAGGAGGCAGAATCTCTAGGACTTGGTTAGGTATAGAGTGAGAGTTGAAAATTATCCCCAGATTTTTAACTTGAGCAGCTGTCTTGGATGGAGAGGAAATAGAAGAAAGAGATAAAGAATGAATTATTTGGGGGCACTGGGTGGCTCAGCTTGTTAAGCGTCTGCCTTCCACACAGGTCACGATCCTAGGATTGAGTCCCACATCCGGTTTCCTGCTCAGTGGGGAGTCTGTTTCTATTTCCCTGTGCCCCTCCCCTGCCTGTGTGTGTGTGTGTGTGTGTGTGTGTGTGTCACACGCATGTGTGCTTGCTCTGGCGCTCTCTCAAATAAAATCTTTGAAAAAGTTTAAAGAATGAATTATTTTGGGGCGCCTGGGTGGCTCAGTGGGTTAAAGCCTCTGCCTTCAGCTCAGGTCATGATCCCAGGGTCCTGGGATGGAGCCTCGCATCGGGCTCTCTGCTCTGTGGGGAGTCGGCTTTCTCCTCTCTCTCTGTGAGCCTCTCTGCCTGCTTGTGATCTCTGTCAAATAAATAAATAAAATATTAAAAAAAAAGAATGAATTATTTTGAACATTTTGGATTTCTGAGGTGTGTGTAGGAATCTGGAAAAGGTACTGCTCACGTGTAAACCACAAGAAGGATAGTGTATTAGTCTATTAGGCTGCTATAACAAAACACCATAGAGTGGGTGACTTATGAACAACAGAAATTTATTTCTCACATTGTGAAGGCTGAAGAGTCCCAAGATTAAGGCACCAGCAGATTCTGGTCTGATGAAGACCTTTGCCTGGTTCATAGATGGATGTCTTTTGCCTGTGTGTTCACATGGTGGAAAGGGGCTAACTAGCTCTCTGGGGTCTTATAGTGGCATTAATCCTATTCTTAACAGCTTTATCCTAATGACAGAATCACCTTCCAAGACCCTTATTTCATAATACTGTCACATTGGGGGTTAGGATTTCAAAATAAGAATTTTGAGGGAGACACGTTCAGTCTATGACAGAAAAGCATGATGCATTCAGAGATATTAAAAAGATACCAGGGAGAGTATTGGAAATGAAGGACTGAATGGTTCTTATTCAGACCCATCTGTAATAAAGCGTTTTTTCCAAGTTACACACTTTTGACTTCATTATCATCAAGAACCAATAGTTATTAGTGTTTAGCATCTATGCTAAGTGATGAGTAGCAGACATTTATTGTTTAAGCAAAGTTAGCCTTCCCTTTACCCTTTTCCCAAAGAATAATGAGTAACACACCTCTTTCACTCTTTTATCATTAAACCCCTGCCCCCCCACCATCATGTGTGCAGTCAGTTCTCTTTACACCCCTCTCTCTACTTTCCCTCTTACAACTTTCACCCTGGAAAAACTTTTTTTCAATCCCTCTTTTTTTCTGGTGGATTAACCAAAAAAAAACCCAAACAGCTGTTGTAATCATGACTGATAATATTAAGAGATGTGCTAGTCATATAAGGGAAAGGAAATCTGTAAGTTTTGAATTATTTAATCTAAAAATAACTTTTGGAGGGGGGGCCTGGGTGGCTCAGTTGGTTAAGCATCTGCCTTTGCCTTGGATCTTGATCTCAGGGTTCTAGGATGGAGCCTCACATTGGGCTCCCTGTTGGGTGGGGAGCCTGCTTGTCCATCTGCTGGTCCCCCTGTTTGTATTCTCCCTCTCTCTCCTGCTCTCTGTCAAATTAATAAATAAAATCTTAAATAAAATAAATAAAAATAACTTTAGGAGTGCCTGGCTGGCTCAGTTGGTAGAGCGTGCGACTTTTTTTTTTTTTAATTTTTAAAGATGTTTATTTCTTAGAGCACAAGAGTGGGGGAGGGGTGGGAGAGGGAGAGAGAAACTCAAGCAGATTCCATGCTGAGTGTGATCCCATAACCCTGAGCTGAAACTAAGAGGTAGACACTTAACTTTCTGTGCCACCCAAGTGCCCCAACTGAGCGTGCAACTCTTGATCTTTGGGTTGTAAGTTTGAGCTCCACACTGGGTGTAGAGATTACTTAAAAATAAATCTTTAGAACTTAATAAAAAATATTTTTCTTGTTGTACTTTGTTTACACTGGGGAATTGAAAGTGCATATAAGCAAAAAGAATTTTTTTTAAAGATTTTTTATTTATTTACTTGACAGAGATCACAAGCAGGCAGAGAGAAGGAATCAGGCTCCCCGCTGAGCAGAGAGCCTAATGCAGGGCTCCATCCCAGGACCCTGGGATCATGACCTGAGCCAAAGGCAGAGGCCCTAACCCACTAAGCCACCCAGGCGTCCCAAGCAAAAAGAATTTTAAAAAGTTAAAGTGGCGGTGTTGATTAGAATTCATTTTGGAATTGAGGTGTTTGAGGTTTTGTTGTATTAGTGTCTCTACTTTAAGTGTACTTCAGATTTTTCATAATAAATAAATGTGTAAGAAAGTCACATAACCCTGACATTAAACAGTGGTTTTTATATATCTTCAAAGAGATGAAGTCGTAAGTTTTGAGGTGAAATAAAGAAAAGAACCAGTGTTCTCACCCTCCAAATCAATGATTTTCAAACTATGCTTAAGGAGGAATTGAATCTTTAAAAAATGAATAATTGGGCATTTACCGATTTATGGAGAATAGATTTTTTTAAAAGGTTAATAGATAAAATATTTTCAAGTTTAATTTTTTAAAAAAACTTGGTGTACCCACTTGTGAGTATTCACAGATACCAAAGTGAGTGAACAAGTAGCAACATCAGAAGATATTTACAAGGGCATCATTTAAAAGCTCATGTGATCAGTAGTTAGGATTTGAGAATGTCTACATAAACTCATATTCCCTGCTAATCAACATACTCCTGGATGCTTCCACAAAGGCTGACAAGTTACTTATTCCACCTGAGCATTTTTTTTCCACCTGAGCATGTTTTGAAGTGAACTAGAGAATAACAGAAAAACAAATGATTTTAAATACAATAGTAGATTTATGTGCAGAGTGTTATGACAGCATAGGGCCTAAAGGAGCACCAAGGAAGGCTTTTAGGAGATATGACACTTGAGCTGAATTTAAAGCATATATGGTCTGTTGGGTGGCGAAGTTTGTTGGGTGGCGAAGTTTGTTGGGTGCCCTACTTTTGGTTTTGTTTCTGGTTATGATCTCAGGGTCCTGAGATCAACCCCCATGTCAGGCTCCATGCTTAGTGGAGAGTCAGCTTGAGATTCTCTCTGTCCTTTTCCTCTCCCACTGCACGCATATGCTTGCTCTCTTAAATAAATAAATCTTTAAAAACAAAGGGGCGCCTGGGTGGCTCAGTCAGTTATGTGTGTGCCTTTGGCCCAGGTCATGATCCCAGGGTCCTAGAATTGAGCCCTGCATCAGGCTTCCTGCTTAGTGGGGAATCAGCTTCTCCCTCTGCCTCTCCCCTGCTCATGCTCTCTCTCTTTCTCTCTCTCAACTTAATAAATACAATCTTAAAAAAAAAAAAATAAAGGCTATATTATATATGGAACAGCATGTGGTGTTCCATACACCGTATGTGAGGTGGCAGAAGAAAGCATGGAATTACGGAGTTGCAGAAATTTCAGAGTAGTAGAAGGAAGAGATGTTTGTGGAGATGTGGCTGTTAGTGAATCTGGTTAACTAGCCAGGATCATTTAAGGAAAAGCACATACTGCCATGCTAAGGAGTTTAAACTTTATTTTGAAGAAAGGGAGTGGGTGCTGAAAGGCTCAGTAGAGAAATAACATGATTTAGTTTTTAGAAAGTCTTTGGCAGAAATACAGAAGAAATAAATAAAAGGAAGAAAAAACTAGAGATAAGGAGATCATTTGGAAGGCTTTAACTGGAAACCAGGAGAGAAATGAGAAGGGCTAACTTAAGTAGTAAGGATGGAGAAAGAGGGTGGATTTTGAGAGCGTATAGACGATAGGCTCCACAGAACTGCAGTGCATGTGGAAGGTTGGGAGTAAAGAGTTGAAGAAAATGGAAGTTTTCTGGTTGCAGTAACTAGGTGGATGGTGGTGCCATTAATGAATTTAGGGAATTTTAGAGGCAGCACAGGCTGAGGAAATTAAGATAATATCATTTTTTTTTAAATTTTACCTATTTATTTTTTTGAGAGAGAGTGTGTGAGCACACACAAGCGTACTCATAGGAGCCAGGGTTAGGATGGGTAGAAGGAGAGACTCTCAAGTTAGCTTTATCTGAGCATCCAGCCAGACACAGGGATGGATCCCATGACCCTGAGACCACAACCTGAGCCAAAACCAAGAGTTGGTTACTTAATTGACTGAGCCACCCAGGCCTCCCTCATTTAATTTTTTTTTAAAGATTTTATATAATCTCTACACCCAATGTGGGGCTTGGACTTAAAACCCTTGAGTTGCATGCTTTACTGACTGAACCAGCCAGGTGCCCCAAATACCATTTTGAATATGCCTAATTTGAGGGGGCTGTGGGACTTCTCTATAGCTATGTCCAATAAAGTCTGTCCTATAAACGTACAGATTTAGTAATCACAACCTCATTAGTAGAATACATGGTTACTCAGAAGAAAGTTAACCAAATAATGAGGCCTATGATATACTTAGTGGAGCCTAACAAGCTTCAGAATACATAAATACCCCTGCCATTTTGGAGCTATATTCTAGCAGAGGGTGGGGATGTGAAATTAGTAAAATGTGTATAGTATGTTAAATGGTGAAAGATGTTCTTTGGAGACTAATTAAGCAGGGAAATGGGATAGGGCATCAGAATCACTTTTAGGGGGCTGCTTTAAAAAATTTTTTTTTTTATTTTTAAGTAATCTCTACACCCAACGTGGGGCTTGAATTTACAACCCAAAGATCAAGAGTTGCATGCTCTACCCACTGAGCCAGCCAGGCACCCTACTTTAGAGGTCTTCTTAAAACACAGACTACTAACCCCACACCTACAGTTTCTGATTCAGTAAATTGAGTTTCAGAATCTGCAGTTTTTACAAGTTCGTACATGATGCTAATGTTACTGGTTTTGGGGCACACTTTGAGAATCACTGGAATAGAGAATTTCTAAAGGGGGAATAATGTTGCAGTTTTAAAGAAGATAGTTAAAATGAGCCTCACTGATGTGGGTGGGTGGGGGATGGGTGAAATACATAAAGGTAATTAAGAATATACTAAACAGTATAGAGGTTCCTCAGAAAATTGAAAATAGAGCTATCCTACAACCTACCCCCAAAATACAAATGTAGTGATCCAAAGGGACATGTGCACCCCAGTGTTTATGGCAGCAATGTCCACAATAGCCAAACTATGGAAAGAACCAGATGTCCATCAACAGATGAATGGATAAAGAAGAAGTGGTATTACACAATGGAATATTATGCAGCCATTAAAAAATGAGATCTTGCTATTTGTAATGACGTGGATGGAACTAGAGGGTATTATGCTAAGCAGAATAAGTCAGTCAGAGAAAGACAATTATCATATGATCTCACTGATAAGAGGAATTTGAGAAGCGATATAGAGGATCATAGGGGAAGGGAGGGGAAAATGAAACAAGGTGAAACCAGAGAGGGAGATAAACCATACTGAAACAAACTGAGGGTTGCTGGAATGGAGGGGAGTGGGAGGGATGGGGTGGCTGGGTGTTGGACACGGGGGAGGGTATGTGCTATGGTGAGTGCTGTGAATTGTCTAAGACTGATGAATCACAGACCTGTACCCCTGAAACAAATAATACATTATATGTTAAAAAAAAAAAGAATATACTTACTGTGATAAGCACCGAATAATCTATAGAATTGTTGAATGATTATATTGTACACCTGAAAAAAGAAAGAAAAAAAAATGGGACTCACTGAGATGGTGACATGTGAATAAATACTTGGAGCAAGGGTGTTGGTCATTTGGATATCTGGTTGAAGAGCTGCCTGTGCAGGAGACCCGATATTGGAGCATGCCTGGCATGTTTAAGAACAGCAAAACTAGTATTTTGTGAGTGAAGAAGAGTTGAAGGTTGAAGCCATGCGAGATAGAGAAATCTGGATTATAGGCGGCTTTGTAGATGATCCATAGGATTTTGAGAGTCTTCAGCATATGGGTAGTAGTTAAAGTCTGAAGCCTAGATGAGATTGTCAGAGAAAGAGCAAGCCAACTCAACTGCATGATTCCTGGCATAGGATGGTGGGGTCATTAGTTAAGACACTGAGAACAGGAAAGTTTGGATGACTCTAAGAGACATTTTGAAGCAAGGAACAGTAGAATTTAATGACTTCCCAAAGGGAATGACTGATGGAAAGGTGGTATTTTGACTTCATTTTTACAACTGAGGGGAGAATAGTTGAAAATGGGCCAGGGCTTGGGGGAGAAGGTTAGCAGGAATAATTAGGAAAAGGGGTTGGCATTTCTGAAAAGAAAGTAACAGTTTCCTGTTTACCTTGTTGCCTTATGAAATGATTAGTACTAAGAAATCTCAAATACAACTTATAATTCACTTTTTCGTAGAATATTTTAGTGAGGGTGCTTGCGTGGTTCAGTCAGTTAAGCATCTGCCTTTAGCTCAGGTCATGATCTCAGGCCCTGGGATTTAGCCCTGCGGTAGTCTTCCTGCTCAGCGGTAGAGTCTGCTCCTCCTTCTCCCTCTCTCTCTCCCTCTACCCCTCCTCCTGCTCATGCTCTGTCTCTTGCTCACTCTCAAATAAAATCTTTAAAAAAAAAAGAAAATTTTTTAGTGAAAAAAGGTGTAACCACTTACATTAAGTCAGCATCTTATGACATATATTAACATTCTGGCATTCTAAAAATATTCCAAACTATTATTTTTTAAAATAGGAAAATGGACGCTGTATTACTAAGCTGGAAAACATGGGGTTTCGAGTGGGACAAGGATTGATAGAAAGGTGAGCAGTGTGGATTTGAAAATTTTCTTCCAGGTAGGTTATAAACAAAGGTGATCCATTTCAAAAGATTGTATAAAATTTGAAATACTTTAATTCCTAAATTTTATTTATTCTCTGTTCTTTAATTCACAGATTAAAATTTCTTTTTAGGTCTGATGCTATTTTAATTCTGTTACCCAACTTTCATGTTTTAATATTTGAAGAAAATGTATATGTATACTTTAGACTTTTTTCCTAAAAAATTTGGTGTACTGAAACAACTATCTAAAATCTTGTTGCATTTTCTACTTAAGGTCTAGTAGGTTCTTTAACCTAAATGGATTTTTGTTTAAATGCAAGGGATGGAAATGCTTTAGAGTCTGTGTTTATGTGTTTAGTAATCTTGTAATTTATAGATCAATTCATAAGGCATTCCTTTCTCATCTGAATAGCTGAATCTGGTTATATTTTATATAACAATACCATGATTATGCTTAGCCTTTTTTTAATGTGCTAGAACGAATTATACATAAAATTGCTGCTTACTGTTAAGACTAATTTTAGCACCATAATTACATAACAGTGTGAATTGAGACGGGATCTTCTTTTCTTGGTGCTTATCACTTTATGACTGTCAATAAATGTTCACTGCTGTTCTGGCATTTCAAAATTAGTGAATAATATAACCCTCCTGCTTTCTTTGGAGGAAAAATACTAATTACTTTCAGTTGGTTTTTTTAGGTTTACAAAAGATACTGCAAGGTTCAAGGATGAGTTAGATATCATGAAGTTCATTTGTAAAGATTTTTGGACGACAGTATTCAAGAAACAAATCGACAATCTAAGGACAAATCATCAGGTATTTAGACAGATTAAGGCCCATTTTTTAAGCCTTTAACTTAATATAAATGTTCTATTTTAGTCATTTATTTAATATATAAAACAGAATAATTTCTAGTCAACTTTGAAATGTTTCTTTTATATGTTATTAATATATCATTACTTTTTTCTGTAATAGGATATAGTGAATAAGAACAAAGAGACAAATATAGGTAATGATAGCTGGGTTTTTTCCCTAATTAAATAACTTAAGTTTTAAAAAGTAGCAAATGTCAGAATGATAAAGGTTTTAGGATTTGGTTCCTGAGTTATTATTACTTGGTGGTAATTTTCTGCAGAACCTCAGATATGTCACATTTGTTTTTAGAGTAATCTCTAAAGTTTATAGAGCATATTTAACTTTTTTTTTTTTTTTAAAGATTTTATTTATTTACTTGACAGAGGGAGAGATCACAAGTAGGCAGAGGGGCAGGGAGAGAGAGAGAGAGAGGGGGAAGCAGGCTCCCTGCTGAGCAGAGAGCACCATGCGGGGCTAGATCCCAGGGCCCAAGACCACGATCTGAGCCGAAGACAGAGGCTTAACCCACTGAGCCACCCAGGCACCGTGCACATATTTAACTCTTAAGTAACTCTTGCATTATTTAGTTGATGTCATTTTTCTCTTAAAATAATTTGTTAATATAAGATTTAATAGATTACATGGAAAATTATGCATCTAAGTAGATTTACTTTGTTTTATGAAACTCAAGAAAATATTTAGAGTGGATTTGACATTTTGATTGAGGATTAGAAAATGAAAATAATTTATCTTGTAGCTACCACTAGCTTTAATTTTTTTCATGTAACAATATCTTTGTAAATACTGAAATGCTAATGAGAAGAAGTGACTGATTATTGGCTTTCTTGATATGAGCTAATATATAACTGCTAATTCTACCTGGACATGTATTTCTGATTCCTTTGCACTAGACTGCGGGTTCTTTAAGGATAGGAACTATTTTATGCATCTTTTTATCTTTAATGTCTTCTTTTTTAAGTTGTTTTTAAAAAAATTTTTTGTAACTTACAGTAACAATTTTTTTAACTTTTTTTAAAGACTTTATTTATTTGACAGAGAGAGACACACAGCAAGAGAGGGAACACAAGCAGGGGAGTAGGAGAGGGAGAGCAGGCTTCCCGTTGAGCAGGGAGCCCAGTGTGGGTCTCCATCCCAGGACCCTAGGATCATGACCTTAGCTGAAGGCAGTTGCTTAACCAACTGAGTCACCCAGTCACCCCTGTATCTTTAGTATCTTAAAGCATTCAAGAAATATTGTTGTTATAAAGTTCTGAACAACTCTTCAGCTTGAGCACTGCAAAATTCCTTCATTTAAAGAAATTTGACCAGTGGAAAGGAGAGTTTTAATACCTTAAAAAAAAACTCTTGAATTGTTTTGAAGGGAAGAAATAATTTTTAAGGACTACAGACTACACTGACTTTTGATGTTTTTTCTGTTTTTGAAACAGGGCATCTATGTACTTCAGGACAACAAATTTCGTCTGCTTACTCAGATGTCTGCAGGAAAGCAGTATTTAGAACATGCATCTAAGGTATTTAACAAAGTAGAAGATTGGGGTTTTCATAGGGAAAGTATAATGCCAACCACAACAGACTTAGGAGTTTAGAATAGGTTTTAAAGTTGTTCTTTTTTGTTTAAGCACTTCTCTTTCTTTCTTTCTTGTTTGTAAAGATTTTATTTATTGGGATGCCTGCATGGCTCAGTTGGTTAAGTGTCTGCCTTTGGCTCCAGTCATGATCCTAGTGTCATGGGATGGAGTCCTGAATTGGGCTCCTTGCTTAGCAGAGAACCTGCTTCTCTCTCTCTGCCTGCCATTCCCCCTGCTTGTGTTCTCTCTCTCTCTCTCTGACAAATAAATAAATAAATAAAATCTAAATAAATAAATAAAGATTTTATTTATTTGAGAGAGAGAGCACGCACAAGCTGGGGAGGAGCAGGGGAAGAGGGAGAAGCGGACTCTCCGCTGCATAGCACAGAGCCCTATGCAGGATCACTGAGTGGAAGGCAGATGCATAAACAACTGAGCCATCCAGGTGCTCCTGTTTAAGTTCTTTTCTATGAAATAGGAGACAGGTGTTCATCATATTAAAATAGCCTATATTAACCTCTAGCTGAATAGGTTTATGATGACTAATGAAACACTGTAACCAAATGCCATTGAAATGTAAATTAATGTTAGATTCTTGAATATAGCATAGATATATCAGAAAAGATAGTCTCTCTTATAAAACTGGCGTTAGTTGTGCGAAATTACTCACCTCAGTTTATATTTACAATCTCCTTTAGTTAAAGTTTTTTAATATTGTTAACATTTGTTTCAAAGAATACATGTTTTGTGTTAAGTGTATTTGTGTTTCTGGGTTTGTATTATGTAAGACAACTTAAGTGGTGATTCTTAACTTTATGGTTTTTTGTTTTTTTTTAATTTGACAGAGAGAGCGATCACAAGTAAGCAGAGAGGCAGGCAGAGGGAGAGGGGGAGGCAGGTTCCATGCTGAACAGAGAGCCTGATGTGGGGCTTAATCCCAGGACCCTGAGATCATGACCTGAGCTGAAGGCAGAGGCTTAACCCACTGAGCCACCCAGGCACCCCTATGTATTATTTTTTTAAGCAGTGTTTTATTTTTTTAATTTTTTAAAAAAGATTTTATTTATTTATTTATTTGACAGAGACAGACAGTGAGAGGGAACACAAGCAGGGAAAGTGGGAGAGGGAGAAGCAGGTTCCCTGCTAAGCAGGGAGCCCGATGTGGGGCTCGATTCCAGGACCCTGGGATTGTTGGGTCCGTTATCAAAGGAACGAGACGGAGACAAAGTTACGCAAAGCCTTATTCTATGCCAAGCATTAGAAGTTAGACTGACTGGCCAGGGAAATGAGGCTGAGACAAAGTGAAAGTTAGGTAAAGCTTTATTCTATGCCAGGCATTGGAAGTCAGACTGACCTGCCAGGGCCGCCTCTGAAGAGAGCAACGTCCCTTGGTCTTACAGGCTAGTTTTTATAGGGCACAATCGCAGGCATCTACATATGTGGCTTTGGCTGATTGGATGTCTCCTACCTGTGTGTTTTAGTAACGGTTACCTGGAACCGATACTAGTAACTAGTAACTGTTGAGGCGTTTATTAAACAACAAAATGGCCTTGTTTTAGGTATGTGTTTTAGTAATAGTTACCTGGAACCGATATAAACAAAATGGCCTTGTTTCAGGTGTGTGATTTAGTAACAGTTACCTGGAACTGATATCAATAACTGTTGAGGCATTTATTAAACAACAAAATGTCTACCTAGGCAACATGGAGTCACTATGGCTAAGTAGGCCCAGGCAGGCCCTAGGGGGTTAACATGTTTTAACATGGAATCGACCCCAACAGGATCACGTCCCTGAGCTGAAGGCAGACACTTAACAATTGAGCCACCCAGGTGCCCCTATTTATGTATTTTTATTTTATTTTTATTTTATTTGTATTTGAGAGAGAGCAAGAGGGAGAGCACAAGCTGGGTGAAGGGCAGAGGGAGAAGCAGATGCCCTGCTGAGCAGGGAGCCCGATGTGAGGCTCAATCCCAGGATCCTAGGATCATGACTTGAGCCAAAGGCACATGCTTAACTGATTGAGCCACCCAGGTGTCCCAGTAATGACTTATTAATAGCAAGGCTTAACTAAATCTCATATTTATCAATAGCATTGCTATCTTTGTAAATTCTTAATATTCTTTACATTTTTGTTCCTTTCAGTATTTAGCATTTACATGTGGCTTAATCAGAGGTGGCTTATCGAACTTGGGGATAAAAAGTATTGTCACGGCTGAAGTGTCTTCAATGCCAGCCTGTAAGTTGAATTCACATTCCTTAAAAATGTTTTTAGTGATTATTTTTTCAAGTCTGGTCTTTTTCTGTTTGTTTTGTTAACTTAGAGAAAATTTAAAATGCTAAAGCCATTTGTTTTACTTTTATCAATGTTAACATTTAATGTAATATGTAGAATACTTTATTCATATTCAATGATTTTTAAATTCATAATGGACAGTGATTTAAGAAGGTGTGCTAAAGTAATCCAAATGTATAAGACAGTTTAAGTGGTGATTCTTTTATATATTTATGTATTTATTGTTATTTATGTGAGAGAGAGCAAGAGTGAGTGACAGAGCATAAGTGGTTGGCTGGTGGGAGGAAAGAAGCAGAGGGAGAGGGAGAAGCAGACTCCCTGCCGAGGACCCTGGGATCATGACCTGAGCCCAAGGCAGATGCTTAACCAACTGAGCCACCCAAGTGTCCCTATGTATTTATTCTTAAAGATTCATTTATTCTGGGGGTGGGGAAGGGCAGAGGGAGAGGGAGAGAGAGTCCCAAGTGGACTTCGTGTTCAGTGCGGAGCCTGACATGGGGCTTAATCCCAAGATTATGACCTGAACTGAAACCAAGAGTCAGATGCTTACCAGCTGAGCCACCCAGGTGCCCTGTGATTCTTAACTTTTTAAGGAAATTTTCTGCATTATTCTTTTAATAAATTTCCCTGTAGCATTAAAAATGTCTTTTTTTTTTTTTTAAGGATTTTATTTACTTATTTGACAGACAGAGATCACAAGTAGGCAGAGAGGCAGGCAGAGAGAGAGAGAAAGGGAAGCAGGCCTCAGGCTGAGCAAGAGAACCTGATGCAGGGCTCGATCCCAGAACCCTAGGATCATGACCTGAGCCGAAAGCAGAGGCTTTAACCCACTGAGCCACCCAGGCACCCCTAAAAATGTCTTTTTAAAAACAGTTTTCTAGGGGCACTTGGGTGGCTCAGTGGATTAAAGCCTCTGCCTTTGGCTCAGGTCATGATCCCAGGGTCCTGGGATCGAGCCCCGCATCTGGCTCTCTGCTCCGCAGGGATCCTGCTTCCTCCTCTCTCTCTCTGCCTACTTGTGATCTCTGTCAAATAAATAAATTAAATCTTTAAAAAAAAAAACAGTTTTCTAGAATAAAGCTAGATAAAGCCAACTAGTCTTTTATTGCTAAACTCCTTTCCAAAGATCTTTTTTAAGCAAAACTACCAACCAAGAATAAAATTGACTTGAGCATCACTCTATTTCCTTTCTATTTACAATGATAATAGGCAGTGAAATACCTAAAAGGTAGGAATCACAAAGAGAAGCAAAGATACCTATTCACAAAACAATAATCTTCTCATAAAAATGAAATTGACTTTATTGAGTATTATGAAAAGTTGTTTGACATAGCAGGTTTCTTCATTGAAACTACTTTCTGATATCACAGAAAATTGATGTTTAGGCTTGTTTTCTTTGTACCTAAAATCAGGAATGATTTTTCTTTTTTTTTTCCCCTTAGGTAAATTTCAGGTAATGATACAGAAGCTATAAAACGTACTGAAATGCAAGGCAAGGCTTCAACAGTGTAAAGAGATAAATTATTCCTGTATAAAATACTTCAAGTAGCAACAATTTAATTATATTATTGGACATTTGATTTGATATAAGCTATTTGCTAACTTATGTAATGAAAGATGCACTCTTAAGCAGGAGTAATGTTGTATTTTATTAATTTAACACAGACCTTGTTAAAGCAGATAAGGAGACATTCTACCATAACACAGATTTTACTGAAACTATTCAGAATGAAAACTGATTTCAAATAACTACATCCCAATGTGTAGCACCCTTATTTTAAACATTCTTATTTGCTTATAGTGGTGTGTATTTAACCATAGATAGAGAAGCAAAACTCAGGGTTTGATAAATCAGCATTAAGAAAAGTATGCATCAATCAGAATCATTTCTGTAAGAGTGAACAAATTTTGGTTTTGCTTTATGAATTTGTTTTAGTTATTTAAGAAAAGCAAACACACTAAATTAAACAATTTTTATTTTATTATAATTTATTTCTATTAAGAATTTTTATGCCTATGAGGATTTTATCATATACATCGTGTATTATGTGTTTGTGGTATATATATATATCCTATGTAATCACCTATATTGCTTAAAAAGTTCATTTTACTTTAACAGAATTTTGTCCTTAATTTTACTTTAATAGAATTTGGTCCTTGAGAGCTCCATTAATGTAATAAAAGTGAAATATAGATTAGTTTAAGTGTGAAGTCAGTGACTCCAGGGCCAAAGAATATTACATATTTAAGGAAGGAATTTTATACTTACTCCTGTTACAGTCTTGACTTTCAGTTTCTCTCCCCATGTGTGGAAGGGCTGGTGAAGGTTCTAAATCCTTATCTTTATTCCCTAATTACTATTTTGCAAGAGCAGAGAGGTGGATAATTGGATTAGGCACACCAACCTGAGCAGAGGGGTGGTGGATAACTGGATTACGCACACCAACTTTCACTGGACACTATCTTCTCAGTGGGTTGGGGTCAGTGCTCACCTTGTACTCCTGTCATCTCTTCCATCTGATAACCAAGAGGACAAGCATAAAGATGAAAACCATCAGATTGAGGATAATGGGGTGCAGAGATAGAAAGCACCTTAATTGTGCTTCTGAATTCCCAATCCTGGAACTGCTTTTCCTTTGAACTTTCTGTTACATGAAATAATAAATTCCTTAACTTGTTCTGTCTACTTTTGGTTCTGTATTTTGTTACTTTCTGTACACCTTAAGCTTAAAATATGTTATATGTCAAGTATATCTCAAGCTGGGAAAAATTAGTATGCAAACTTGTATGTATAAGGACTTTCCCTAGTTATGTGTTCACTGATGGCATTGATTAAATTATGGTACTGACATATAAGAAAATACTGTGCAGCTGGTGAAAAGGAGGAAATCTACGTGCATTTATGTACATGGAATGCTGTTAATTGATGTTAAGAGAAAAAAGTTTATTATAGGATACTACAGATATAATGTATAAATATACATGATTGTGAATATCAGCCTGCAAAGTTAAAAGTAAATTTTAAGTAGATGGAGATTTTTTACTTTTAGCTTTATATTATTTAGGTTTTAAAATAATCATTTGGCACAATAAAGATATTTATATTTGAGGTAAGAAATCATGATAAATCAGTGATTTTTAAGCTGTGTTTTTTTGAGTCCTAAGTTTCACAGGGTGACCTCGGCTGAGAGTTGGTAGGGGGCAGGGTACAGGCGTGAAGCTAGTGGAAGTTGGGAGGCCACCTAGTAGAGGCCTTGAATTAGGGAGAAAGGCATTATAGAGACTGTCATCAGCAGAGAGGATTTATTATACCTCAGGATGCCCAGAGCCACAGAGAAGAGATTGTTTACTACATAAAAGACAAGCCAGTGATACACATCATCAAGTATTTAAGCCAGTATGCTTGAGGAACCAGGTACACCATTGTTTCCTCTTTCAAAAGGGGGACTCTGGGTCATCAGCTATAGACTGCCTGGAAGGAATGCTTCTCCACTCTCGCACAAAGTTGTATCAATCCCATCCAAATTGCCCTTTTTGAATAATAACCCTTTCTTTGAAGCAGGAGTTCTTCGGAGGAATATTGGAGAAAACTCTCAGGACCCATACCTGGGATGGGACGGGATAGTGGTGAAAACTCATTTCCTCATGGTATAAGGTTCTGTTTCTTTTTCTTTTTTTTTTTAACGTTTGGGGGCCATGGACGCCTATTCAGTAGTGTATTGATGTTTATGAACTCCTCACAATGTTTTTATGCACAAATAAAATACATTAAGACTACAAAGGATACAGTTGTACTGATGTTATGAAAATATTTTTAAAATGTAATAATACTTTATATTAAGGCAATATATTTAAAATATAGGTGAGAGGTCAAAAAATAAATAAATAAAAATAAAATACTGGCAAGGGGTGCCTGGCTGGCTCAGGTGAAGAACATGTTCTTGATTTCTGGATCATGAGTTTGACCTGCTCCGTTTCCAATAATTGCATTATTTCATCTTAATTATAGTTCTCAAGGCCTCTTAATGAACAGCATACTTGTTTTTTTAATTAAAGAGATACATTTTTCAAAAGTAGAAAACTATACTGTATGGTTGTGATGGGGTGGCTCAGTGGGTTAGGTGTCTGACTTGTCTTTAGCTCGTGTCATGATCTTGGGGTTGTGAGATCGAGCCCTGGGTCAGGCTCCACACTGGGCATGGAACCTGCTTAAGATTCCCTTCCTCTGCCCCACCCTCCTCCCTCTCTGAAAAAACTAGGGGCGCCTGGATGGTTCAGTGGGTTAAGCCTCTGCCTTCCGCTCAGGTCATATCAGGGTCTTGGGATCGAGCCCCACATCGGGCTCTCTGCTCAGTAGGGAGCCTGCTTCCCTCTCTCTTTGCCTGCCTCTCTGCCTACTTGTGATCTCTGTCTGTCAAATAAATAAATAAAATCTTAAAAAAATAATAAAATTTAAAAACCCAAAACTATACTGTGTACTGCATACATAAACTGTTTAGTCAGTGGCTTCTACTAACCATGACACAGCTTGATCTCTTAGGTCTAGTGATCAAACCTCATAAGAAGACTTAGGACTGGAAATGTCACCAGAATCTGTCCATTTGGCAGAGGGTGCCTGGGTGGCTTAGTTAAGCATCTGCCTTCCGCTCAGGTCATGATCCCAGAGTCCCGCATCTGGCTCCTTGCTCAGTGAGGAACCTGCTTCTCCCTCTGCCTACTGCTTCCCCTGCTTGTGCTTGGTCCCCCCATCCACCCCATGTCAAAAAAGCATAACTTAAAAGATTTTGAGAGTGTGCACATGCACATGAGCAGGGGGTAGGGGCAGTGGGAGAGGGAAGCAGACTCCCCCTGAGCAGGGAGCTGGATGCGGGAGTTGATCCCAGAACTGTGGGATCATGACCTGAGCCAAAGGCAGATGCCAACCAACTGAGCCACTCAGGTGCCCGAGATCTGCAGATATTTCCAAGCCTCTTTTCCTTTTCTCTCCCCCCATCCCCCCACCTCCTACTGGAAAGACTTAAATTTTTATTTCTCCCACCTTCCTCAGAGCTAGAGGTGATCATGTTATACACTTATGGCCAACAGATGAACATATATCTGCTGTGAATTTCTGGGTAAAGTTTTGCTTTTATGAGAAAATCAGATGTGGAAGGCTCTGCGTCGTTCCCCCTTTTCTGGTCTTGAATACAGACGAGTTATCTTGAACTGCAGTGGCCATCTTGTTATCATAAGGGAAAGGCCACAAGACTCTCAGAGACATTGGTATTGTAGAGTCATTGACCCAATGCTAGTAGCCAGCTCTTCCTGACTTCTGGGCATGTGAGAAAAATCCCTACTGAAAAACTGTTGCTATGTGAATCATCTGTTAAAGTAGAAAATATTCCTATCTGATAAAGAAATAGAAAAATTCTAAGTGATATGAGCTAGAAATCTGACAGACAAAACAGATGACTTATTAGGGTATAACAGAAAATGATTTAAGAAAAAGTTTTATGTAATAAAGCAGTTAGAAGTATTGAGCTGGGACACCTGGGTGGCTCAGTTGGTTAAGCCGCTGCCTTCGGCTCAGGCCATGATCCTAGGGTCCTGGGATCGAGTCCCACGTCAGGCTCCTTGCCCTGCAGGGAGCCTGCTTCTCTCTCTGCCTCTGCCTACCACTCTGCCTGCTTATGTATGCTCTCTCTCTCTGACAAATAAAAAAATCTTAAAAAAAAAAAAGTATTGAGCTTAAAGGGAAAACATTTGATTAGTTTGTTGGTGACTATAAAAACATTTGCCATTTAACCAAGATTATCTTAATTCTAAGGACATCTATTCATTGTCTTTTGTTTTGCTCAAGAGTGAAACAAGGGGCCCCTAGGTGGCTCAGTCCATTAAGCGACTGCCTGTGGCTCAGCAGAGAGTCCACTTCTCTCCCTCTGCCAATCCCCCTGCTTGTGCACTCTATTTATTTATTTATATTTTATTTATTCATTTAATTGACGGGGAGAGAGAGACAGCAAGAGAGGAAACACAAGCAGGGGGAGGGGGGAAGGAAGAAGCAGGCTTCCCGCTGAGTGGGGAGCCTGGGGCTCAATCTCAGGACCCTGGGGATCATGACCTGAGCGGAAGGCAAACGCTTAAAGACTGAGCCACTCAGGCGCCCCAATGCTCTCTCTTTAATAAACAAACACAATCTTAAAAAAAAAGAGTCAAATAAGATTTTAATAACCAAAACACATTTTCAGTAAGAGTTTATGTGTATATATGTAAAGAAACAATGAAAAAGCACCAATGATCTCTAAAATTTTATCATACAGTTTCTGTACAGGATGCTTCACCAATAAATGGCACTGAATTTGTTTTAAAAACATGTAATTATAGAAAACTGTTTAAACTGTTCTGTCACAAACTGGCTGGTTGGGATTTTCCAAAGAATGCTTCAGACACTCAAATCAATATATCTTCTGAATGTCAACTTGAAATGCACAGGTTAAGATGAAGACCCTTCAAATAACTCAGGCTGCCTTCATCACAAGTATCTTCTATCCCAGAGAGACCAGCCAAATCAAGATGGTTCATCAGCTAAATCACGTTGGTCAAAATACCTAATAAAAAAAAAGAAATTTCATGTATATTAAAAATATTAATAGCAGCACTACTTATAATAGCAAAACACCACAAACAACCCAAACATCCATCAATAAAGGCACTCATTGACTAAACTATGGTACATCTACATAGTGGAAGACTGAGGCTTTTTATAAAAGCCTCTTTTTTTATAAAAAGAAATGAGGGGCACTTGGGTGGCTCAGTGGGTTAAGTTTCTGCCTTCAGCTCGGGTCATGATCTCAGGGTCCTGGGAGTGAGCTCTGCATCAGGCTCTCTACTCAGCAGGGAGCCTTCTCCACACTCTACACCACCGCTCCACCCACACCCCGCCCTCGCCACTGTTATACCCTAATAAGTCATCTGTTTTGTCTGTCAAATAAATGAATAAAATCTTTTTAAAAAAATGAGGAAAATACACTGCTATATAGTGTGATTTCTAGGATTTATTAAGTGAAAAAAACAAGGTATAGAATAGTATATTTACTATGCTACCTTTTGTAAGGATGTGTAGGAATGCAGATATATTTATATATACTTATACTTTTAGAAAGAAACAGTAAATAGAAGGGTAAACCAAAAATTAATAAAATGGAAAACTACAGAAGAGAGAAAGGCTAGAGAGGATAAAAGTGGGTTCTAAAATATTTCAAATGCATCCTGAATTATAATTTTAACTTTGAACAATGTAAATATTCTATGTAATTATAAAACAAGATTAAATGAAAAAAAAAAAAAAATCCCCAAACCCAACCAAATGAATCTTTATCAGGTTGCTGGCATAACCACACAGAGGAGAATAATTTCAAGTGATCTTACATGTGATGTTCTGGTATATGTCCCTAGTGAGATATACCAGAGACAAAAGAACTGCAAAGAATTCTTAAACTGATTTTAGTAGTTGTACTATCAGTAACACTGTTAGTATATTTATTCTGAAACTATTATGTACATATTGTAGGAAAAAGCCAATAACTGTTAATGCTAGAAACCAGAATTTTCAGCAGAGGAAAAAGAAACATAGCTTTAAGAAAAATTATGTCATCTTAAATCAGAACTGAAAATGAAATTTGAAGTCATGACTTCATTTTTTTCTTTCTAAGAAACACATATTTCCTACCTCTGGTCATCCAAAAGGCCTAAAGGCAATGACCAACCTAGTAACAGCTAACTTCCCTAATGTCCAAATTGTGGACTCTAAATATCATTTTCTACCTTTTTTTTTTTTAAGATTTTATTTATTTATTTGACAGAGATCACAAGTAGACAGAGAGGCAGGCAAAGAGAGAGTGGGAAGCAGGCTCCCCGCCAAGCAGACACCCCGATCCTGGGCTCGATCCTAGGACCCTGAGACCATGACCTGAGCCAAAGGCAGAGGCTTAACCCATTGAGCCACTCAGATGCCCCCCCATTTTCTACTTTAAAAGAGAAACCAGCACTCCTGGGAAAAAAACACTGATTCCAGATCTGGGGCCAGAAATAGACATTAATAAAAGATACATCTGAACTATCTTGACATACCTGAAAGTAAGAAAGCTGTAAAGGACCACCAGGGTTATATAGAACAAAAAGCACAGGAACTGATCTGATGGGTTCCTGCTGACCAAACACGGAACAACCTGAGCATCAACAAGAATAATGACTGCAATATCCCTTTACCTGAATGCAGTGATCAACCTCATACTAAAAGTGGGACAACCAGGTATTATGTGCCTCCTGATGTGCACACCACCACCCATGGAGTCTTGCCAAACCAAAAAAAAAAAACCCTATATATAATAATCAAGCCTTTATTCTTTTTTTACTTTTTGAAGATTTTAAAAATTTATCTGACAGAGACACAGCAAGAGAGGGAACACAAGCAGAGGGAGTGGGAGAGGGAGATGCAGGCTTCCCACTTAGCAGGGAGCCCGAGGTGGGGCTCCATCCCAGCATCCTGGGATCATGACCTGAGCTGAAGGCAAACACTTAACGACTGAGGCACCCAGGCACCCCAATAATCAAGCATTTAGGACAACCTAACGGCTTACAGAAAATATGGGGGATAAATGAACACATGAAACACCATCATGAAGATAAGATATACCTGTCAAAACCAAAACATGGGAAATTTTACAAGTCAAAGGGCTGTTTTTTTTCCAGCAAATAAATAGCAAAGAGATAAACCTAGGAAACTGATGGGGAGATTCAAGAGACACATCAAACAAAAGCAATGAGTACATTTTACTTGGATCCCGATTTGGGTATTTTTGTTTGTTTTTTGGGGTTTTTTTTTTTTAGCACCTACTTATTTTCCATCAACCTTATTTCTACTTTGTTTGCCTTGGTGGAAGAGCAGCTTAAGACTGCTCCGTGGCTGTTTCTATGCATTCAGTGGCCTAAGCAGTGGGAGCTGCAGGCTAGTCTTCAGTGGCAGGCTGAGCATTCCAGTTTTCATTTAGTAGGGAACGGACTGTGACCAGTCTGTGACTTCAGGATGAAATGCAGTGAACTCGGGAGCTGCAGCAGTCCATTCACCCTGAAAGTCTTCCTTGGTCACAGCCTTTTCAGCAGCTGCCTGCTCTTCCTTTTCAATCTCTTCAGGATCTCTGTAGTAGTAGAGATAAGGCATGACCTCACACGGGTGCTCATGGGAAATGGTGCCAAGCATGAATAGAACTTCCCAGGCCAGGCTCCGCCACATCAGACTCACTGAGTGAGCTCCCTTATTGCTGTAAGGGACGGCAATGCGCATAGAGTGCAGAGGAGAGTCTGTGTTACATAGAGCAACCGTAGGCAGGTTAACGTAAGACACCTCTGTCTGAGGCTGTGGTCCGTCCTAGCATCAGCAACCACCAAGAAGGCTTGGCTCTAAGAAGGCTGCCTGGATCTGGTTATTGAAGGATCCAGGGATAAAGTGGCCAGCAGGAGGGAGTGGCTCCAGTAGCAGCAGCAAACTTCAGCACAGCTTGCTGGCTAGTATTTCTGGATGACAGGACACCGACATCAACTGGGTTTTCAATGGCAACAATGGCACAAGCTGCCTGCAGAAGCATCTCCCAGGTTCTCTCTCCAGATTTTTTTTTTTTTTAAGTAGGCTCCGCACCCAGCATGGAGCCCAACATGGAGCTTGAACTCACGACCCTGAGATCAAGATCTAAGCTGTCATCAAGAGTTGGATGCCTAAACAACTGAGCCACCCAGGCGCCCCTCTCTTCTGATTTATGATGTAGATACTAACACTTTCCTTTTGTAGATACTGCTCCATTTGGAAGTCAAGGTTGGTGCCACCTAAGTGGGTTCCTGCTGCAAGGAATTTGAGGACATCCTTCTCCTTCATTTCCAGGATATCAAGGGCTCTGGACATTGTGAAAGTTTCTCTTTACGTTACCATGGAAATGAAGAGCAACAGCATGTGGTTCGACCTCTCCCTGGCTAGTGTGGAAAGGGAAAGGGTTGGATCCTGATTTGAACAATTCAAATGTGCGAAGACATTTTGGGAACAATTAAGGAATATGAAATGTGAACTAGGTATCAGATAATACTGTGGAGTTATTAAATTTATTAGATACGTTATCAGTATTAGGGAGTCATGTTTTAAAAGGTCCTAATCACTTAGATACTCTAAAACAGGAGAAATGACATGTCTGAGATTTATTTAAAATACATTAACAAAAAAGATGAGACAAATGAAACACTCTGGTGAAGTTGATAAATGTTGAACTTGGGTGATAGATTTCTGGCGGGGGGCAAGTATTATTCTACTACATTCATATGTACTTGAAAATCTCCATAATAAGAACCTTAGGGGCACCTGGGTGGCTCAGTGGGTTAAGCCTCTGCCTTTGGCTCAGGTTATGATCTCAGGGTCCTGGGATCAATCCCCTCATCGGGCTCTCTGCTTGGCCGGGAGCCTGCTTCTCCCTCTCTCTTTACCTGCCTCTGTGTCTACTTGTGATCTCTCTCTCTGTCAAATAAATAAGTAAAATTTTTAAAAAAAGAAAAAAAAAGGAGCTTAAAACATTTTTCATTGATAAAATAATTAGGGTGGGTAATAGGGCTATTAAATCCCATCTGAATGGGATTCCACTCATTTGAGTAGGTATTTCTATCAGTTAGAAGTTTTTGCTTTAAAGCTGTAAGACAGGGGTGCCTGGGTGGCTCAGTGGGTTAAAGCCTCTGCCTTCGGCTCAGGTCATGATCTCAGGGTCCTGAGATCGAGTCCAGTCATCGGGATCTCTGCTCAGCAGGGAGCCTGCTTCCTCCTCTCTCTCTGCCTGCCTCTCTGCCTACTTGTGATCTTTCTCTGTCAAATAAATAAATAAAATCTTAAAAAAAAAAGCTGTAAGACATATAAGACCAACAACAACAAAAAAACAAACCCACAAAAGAGAACAATATTTGATACTTATATTGAGATGGCTACTGCCAAGAGTCAAGGTCTATGTTATCTTTTTTCAAACATTCTAGAATCTTCTTTAAATCTTCTTTTAGAGAGCCTGCTGTGTGGGGCAGGGAGAGAGGGCATCTTAAGCAGGCTCCATGCCAACATGGGGCTCCATCTGAATTCATGACCTGAGCCAAAATCAAGAGTCAACGCCTAACTGACTAAGCCACCAAGGCACCCTTCTTCTGCAGGTTTTCTTTTCCTTTTTTTAAAAAAAGATTTATTTATTTATTTATTTGACAGACAGAGATCACAAGTAGGCGGAGAGGCAGGCAGAAAGAGAGGGGGAAGTAGGCTCCCTGCCGAGCAGAGAGCCCAATGCAGGGCTTGATCCCAGGACCCTGAGATCATGACCTGAGCCAAAAGCAGAGACTTATTGCCCACTGAGCCACCCAGGTGCCCCTGCAGGTTTTCTTAAGTGAAGCCTATATAGTCTAAGAAAATTTTCTGGCCTAGAACTTATTTTTCATTTTTAAGTAACGTTCTGAGGGAAAAAAAAAATAACCATGACCAATTACTTGATATTGCTTTTCTTATAACTGCACATTATAAAGTATCAGTGGATTAGTAGTCAGATGTTATATTTAAGTCTCTGATTCCATTCAGTACTAGTTTACTGAACCCTAATTAATGTTTCTGAACCTGTATCTTCACCTGTGAAAATAAAAGAAAAAACTCTTGAGTTCCAAGGATTAAAGACCCAGTATACATAGCGCCTAGGGCTTTCATTTAATCCTTATTACCAAGAGATAGGTAGTTTGATACGAGCATAGTCCAGAGCTTAGCTCTGGAGCAAAGCTGCCTTGTTTTTGGATCCTAGCCCTACAATTTACTAGCTTTGTGATGGCAGGAAAATTGTTTTATCTTTTTCTGTCATGGTTTCCTCATCTGTAATTGGTAATAGCATCTACCTTCTAAGGAGTCAATGAGTTTCTATTATGAAGCACTAAGAAAAATGCGTGGCACAAAGTGCCTAGTTAAGTATTAATTATCACCAGCAGCATAATTATTATAGATTGAGAAACTATATGTTGAATACATGTGTATTCTGAAAAAGTATCTTGTTTGAGGAAGGATAATGGACACAGATTATTTCCCTTATCAATATTTAAACATAATATAAAGCTTTAGAAAGGCTGGGGCACCTGGGTGGCTCAGTGTGTTAAGCCTCTGCCTTCAGCTCGGGTCATGATCTCAGGGTCCTGGGATCGAGCCCCACATCGGGCTCTCTGCTCGGCGGGGAGCCTGCTTCCCCCTCTCTCTCTGCCTCCCTCTCTGCCTTCCTGTAACCTCTCTCTCTGTGTCAAATAAATAAATAAAAAATCTTTAAAAAAAGAAAAAAAAAGGTATTGGCAATAGATTAAAAACACTGACCAATATATAAAAATATCAAGTCCAGAAAGAGACCTGAAATAAGTATGTGTAAGTATAATACACACATACACTCATACACACGAATTCAGAATATGAGAATGTTTTTAGATAAATTCCAAGTAGAATTTCAACGTTAAGAAATGAAATCAAACACATTCTAAATAAAAATATGTCCAAACTGAAAATGAATAAAGAACACAGGCAATTTTTAAAAATTACAATAAAATAAAGTATTTTTTTTACCCTCACTGGTAATTAAACAAATGCAAATAAAAATAATTTGTATCGGGGCACCTGGGTGGCTCAGTGGGTTAAAGCCTCTGCCTTCAGCTCGGGTCATGATCCCAGGGTCCTGGGATCGAGCCCCGAGTCGGGCTCTCTGCTCGGCAGGGAGCCTGCTTCGCCCTCTCTCTCTCTCTCTCTCTCTCTGCTTGCCTCTCTGCCTACTTGTGATCTCTGTCAAATAAATAAATAAAATCTTTAAAAAAAATAATTTGTATCTTTTTGTTATTAGAATGGAAATATTTGTATCAACTGAAAATGCCCAGTGTTGAATAGAAGACAGGCAGTCTCACTGACACTTTCATGGGAACACAGAAAGATATGAGTTTCTGGAAGGCCAACGATTAATAAATATCTCAGTTTTAAAATACATGCAAGCCCTTCAACTTATTTCTAGGAGTTTGCCCTTAGGAAATAACAGAGCTATAATGTATAAGGATCTACACTGCAGCATTATTTATAGAGAAAACTTGAAATATAGGGAATTGAGATACATATGATATTGTTTCCTTATACCTCAATTTCCTCTGCTTGAAAATGAAAACAGTATTTTCCATTAGTAACACTATTATAAAGCAAGGAATCAAGGATTACTTACCTGCTAACCAGACAGATTAATAAATTCAAAGCAGGAACCCGCTCATCATCTTTACTGTCCTAAAGAAAAAAAAAAAATCAGAAAAATGTAGAGTGTTCTCCCTAGTATTTTTGAAACAAATTTCAATACGCAAAACATGAAACTTTTGTTAGATAATAGTAATAATCATATGGAAGTAGAAAACCTCAAAGAAAAAGGAGAAAACTAGAGAGCTAACAACCCTTGAGAAACATCTGACATGATCTTTAAAGATTTTATATGTCACAGAGAGGGCACAAGCACGGGGAGTGGCAGGCAGAGCAAGATGCAGACACCTCGCTAAGCAGGGAGACCAATGTGGGACTTGATCCGAGGACTCTGGGATCATGACCCGAGCTGAAGGCAGATGCTTAATGACTGAGCCACCCAGGTGGCCCCTGACATGAACTTTTAAAGAAAGGTCCTCAAGAGGGAAAAGAAATAAAGAGTTGAAGATTCAAAGGAGAATAACTTGGAAGAAAGATTTTTCCCAGTTCCCAAGTAGGGGAGCAACCCCCTCCCCAAAGTCCTAACTACACAGTACGGAAAACTATTTTAAAATATTTTAAAGAACTTAAAATTGAGGACTGAAATCGTGGCTTCTAGCCTAAGACATACCAGAAAATAGTCCAGCAGATCAGGGTTCTTAATTATATGGAGGTAGTTGCTAAACTATATATTTTACAAAGTGATATTATAGAATGTGAAGTTTAATTTTATACATTTCAGGATAAAGTTACAATAACCTATCGAGAAATGTTATAACAGACATGTCACATGTTAATTCAAACTTGGGACACACTTCCATGTTAGTGTACTCAAATCTATGTGTCAAGCACTATATGAAACGAAGCTGAATAAAACATATTACCTGCTAATAGCAGAGAAGATGAAATATCCACATTAATTTTAATGAAAGAAAAATGTGTAAAGTGCCCATAAAAAAATGTGAAGTATACTGGAAAAACAGAGGATGAAGAAATTCTTTTTAGTTGTTAGGATCAGGGAGAGTATCATAGAAAATGGTAGAATATGAGCCAGAGTTTGGCGACTGTGGCCATTGCTGCTATAAACATTGGGGTATAGATGTCCCTTCTTTTCATTACATCTGTATCTTCGGGGTAAATACCCAGTAGTGCAATTGCAGGGTCATAGGGAAGCTCTATTTTTAATTTCTTGAGGAATCTCCATACTGTTCTCCAAAGTGGCAGCACCAACTTGCATTCCCACCAACAGTGTAAGAGGGTTCCCCTTTCTCCACATCCCCTCCAACACATGTTGTTTCTTGTCTTGCTAAAGATGCCCTTCAGCGGACGAATGGATAAGGAAGATGTGGTCCATATACACTATGGAGTATTATGCCTCCATCAGAAAGGATGAATACCCAACTTTTGTAGCAACATGGATGGGACTGGAAGAGATTATGCTGAGTGAAATAAGTCAAGCAGAGAGAGTCAATTATATGGTTTCACTTATTTGTGGAGCCTAACAAATAGCATAGAGGACAAGGGGAGTTAGAGAGGAGAAGGGAGTTGGGGGAAATTGGAAGGGGAGGTGAACCATGAGAGACTATGGACTTTGAAAAACAATCTGAGGGGTTTGAAACAGCGGGGGGTGGGAGGTTGGGGGAACCAGGTGATGGATATTAGAGAGGGCACGGATTGCATGGAGCACTGGGTGTGGTGCAAAAACAATGAATACTGTTATGCTGAAAATAAATAAATTTAAAAAAATGTAAAAAAAAACCCAAAAAAACAAAAAAACAATTTTTGAAATACACGTCAAATTTTACCTTTTCATACATAAGGCTAAGATGTGTACAAAGCAATTTTACCTGGGGAAAAACTGTGTGAATCAGGAAATATTATGGGGGAAAATATAATGAGCTGATTCTGAGATAAAAATGTAAATATTATATCACAAAGTAATAACATATAAACTCATTGGTATCTTAAAAAAAAAAAAAAAAAGAATATGAGCCAGATTACGAAAACTAAATGGTATTTAGATGCAGACTGGAAGAGTGAAAAGGCACTTCTGGAGACGAAATAAAGTCTAGGAACAAAACATGTGAAATATTTACTGAGTTGCAAGTATATTCTGCTTGGAGTACAAGCCACAGAAGCTAGTTTGGGCCGTATCACGGTTTAACAAAAGTATTTGTGAGTAGTCAATAGAGAACGAGTATGCATTTTGTGGAAGGGAAAGGAGGGATGAAAGAAAAAAAATCACAGGTGGACTTAATCTGGCATAAAGTTTATTTATATTATAATGCTGCAGGTATTCAAAACAATCATTGCGCCAGAGACTGTTAGTTGACCACTCCAGCTTCTTGTTTTCCCTTGCTATTTAGCAAAGAAGTTCATTTTTACCTAGGCACCCTGTCCCCCCAGCTAAAAGTAAACACTACCATAGTTCCTAATGGCCATGTAACTAAAGTCTGGCTAAATGAGCTAGATATATAGCCAGATGTGCTTGTGAAACCTCTGGGAAGCTTTGTTAGAGGATAACCTTCTCTTCTTTCTAGTTCCTATAACCAAATATAATGGCTGAACTCCAGCAGCTACCTTGGACCATGAGGTGAGCTTGGCAACTGAAGTCACATGAGGCAGAACTCAAAGGCCTGGGCTACTGCCATCTTAGATTTGCTCTGTCCACCTGAAGACTTCCTTTATCTAAGAAAAACATGTCCATTTTATTTAAGCTACTGTTATTTTGGGCTTTTTAAAATTATGTGGCCAAATCTAATCTTGACTAATAAATATTCCACATTTTCCTATTTCAATGTAATCCTTTTTTATTACTACATAAATCAATGAGCACTTTCAATTTGAAATAGTAAGCTGTAACTTACCACTAAGAGCCTTACTTCAGAGCACCTTCTTGCAAGCTGCCGAATCAGTGAATGAGCCTCAGGTAATAAAGGTTTTTCAAGACAAGCCAATAATGCATAAAGCCACCTTCCCTAAATAGGATTTTAGAAAAAGTAGTAAGTAGCAAATACTGTACCCTAAGTTTAGGTTATTTTTTAAAATGTCCAAAGTTGTGTCTGGTTATTTGCTATGAATAAATTAATGTAACATTAACTGTATTATGTTTGGATATAGACAACAAGGGATCATCTAGACAGCCAGCTGATATCTCTTGTATCTTCTTACCACAGACATAGGACATTGGACACTTCAAATACCCTTAGTTCCAAAGAGTTCATTTTAGAGATTCTTACTATAATGGAAGTCCTGATTTCTAGGCAGAAAACTACAATAAGATGTGCATAATCCTTGCAAAAATTAAGACACATATTTTTCCTTTGCCCTTTATAGACAGATATACAAATAAATAATTTTATAACTTTGCCCCATGTCTATACAAAGGAACTATACTCTAGATGAAATAATGTTTTGAGGGGCACCTGGCTGGCTCAGTTGGTAGAGCATGCAACTCTTGATCTTGGGACTGTGAGTTCAAGCCCCATCCTAGGAATAGAGATTACTTAAAAAAATAAATCTTAAAAAAATTATAAAAAATGTTTTGATACTTCTGTTAAGTACCATGGCAAACAATCTATCCCCACTCTTTTTATTTATTTACTTATTTTTAAAGTAAGCTAAGCATGGAGCCTAATGCAGGGCTTGAACTCACGACTCTGAAATTAAGACCCGAGCTGAGATCAAGAGTCAGACACTTAACTGACTGAGCCCCCCAGACCTCCATCCCCATCCTCTTTTGAAATGTTTTTTTTTTCAATTACAAAAGGAAAAAATACTCAATGAAGAAAAACTGAAGAATACAAAGAGCACAAAGTAAAAAACACAATCGCAACCCCATCCAGATAAAATTTCTAATTTAAAAAAGTGCTAATTTTTATCTTTAGCATATTATATGTACAACATAAAAAAATAAAGTTCCTTTATTGCAGTAACATTAATAATGTGGTAGTAACCTTGTGTAGCCATCTTCTTTACTTGCAATACATAGTTAGTATCTCCCATGTTGTTAAATGGGATTAATAACATCTCAACATAACACTTATATAAATACTCCTTAACCAAACACTTCCCTGTCACTGCTGGTTTATTCTTTTTTTCCCCAAACTCTGTGAGAGTATAATGATAGATATTATACCCTAGGACCAAGACTAGAGTTGGAAAACAACAGGAGCTTAAATTAAAATTTTTATGGAATGAATGTTCCATTTTGAATGCACCATAATTAACCAATTTCCTATTGTTGAGCACTCAGGTTTAATTTGTTGCCGTTATATAAAAAATAGTGTGATAAATATCCTTGAACATAAATTTTAGAGCATCTCTGGTTTTTTGGGCTAAATTCCTAGAAATAAAATGGTAGTATCAAAGGGTATGTATGTTCATAAATGTTTCTGAGATATAATCAGTAAATTGTACCCCAGAAAAATTATATCAAATTATATTTCCACCAGCAGTGTATATGACTGAATTTTTTTTTTTTTTAAAGATTTTATTTATTTGACAGAGAGAGATCACAAGTAGACAGAGAGAGAGAGGAGGAAGCAGGCTCCCTGATGAGCAGAGAGCCTGATGCGGGACTTGATCCCAGGACCCCGAGATCATGACCTGAGCCGAAGGCAGTGGCTTAACCCACTGAGCCACTCAGGCGCCCTATATGACTGAATTTATTCTGAGGAACAAATCACTCTGGAGAAACCTAAAGAATATTAAACAATGTTTACATAGCAATTCATGCAACAAACTAAATTAGCTCCTCAAGCTACCCCAAATCAGTAAGACTTTCTTAAACAAAAGATTCACATCCAAGTTTCTTTTATAAATAGTAAGTGGAATTCTCTTCTACATCAAAAAAACTATTATACATTTAAACTTGGCTCGAATTCTCAGGGCTGCATTTACCGTATATACTGGCACTCAGGTATTCAAATGGCTCCTAAACTTCTACTGATTGTCTAAGATGTATTTATATTTAGAGGCACCTTTTCTCAAAGTTAGTGAACACACTATGGCGATACTAAAATGTAAAATCAAAACCCAAAACAAAAGAGCTGAACATATTCTTTAATACCTTCACATTTGGATGAATAATAAGGCTGTATTTATTTCTCAAGAAGAAATTAAAGTAATCCCAAGTAAAGACATTTAAGAAAAGAGATCCTTTTTCCTTCTGCTAGTTTATGATAAGCAAACTTTGTAATATAGGTTTTTATACACTGATAGTCTTTTTTTTTTTTTTAAGATTTTTTATTTATTGATTTGACAGAGAGAGATCACAAGTAGACAGAGAGGCAGGCAGAGAGAGAGAGAGAGAGAGGGAAGCAGGCTCTCCGCTGAGCAGAGAGCCCGATGCGGGACTCGATCCCAGGACCCTGAGACCATGACCCGAGCCGAAGGCAGCGGCTCAACCCACTGAGCCACCCAGGCGCCCCTACACTGATATTCTTAATAGGAAAGTTCTGATAACATGGTTAATTGGATAGAAGAATTGAATACTGTTGATTTAAGAGACATATTGACTCAAGGTTAGAAGCAAAGGGTTCATTAGGTTAAGATTTAGTAAATCAGCTGTCAGTTCCTCTGACAAATATAGCTACTTCTTGATAATACGCTCTCACTAATAAATAGGAAAAGCCAAGCTTATCACCTTATTACCTTGGGAAATCTTCAGAAGTTAAAAAAAAATTCCAAAAAAATCTTACAACAAAGTTAATAAAATAAAGATTTAAGGAAGAGAAGGAAAACAGGTCAGGTAATACTGCTAAAAGGTCACTATCAGAGAGAAAGAATGGATGTAGAATTTAGAGTTCAACATCCAGATTCCAATGAACAAGTAATATGAATATATACAAAGTTATCTATTGAAGGTATACCTAATATACCTATGATGGGGAAAAATATTCACTTTTTTCAAGGAATACAAATTACATTTGCTTAAAGTATTACTGTAAATTCACTAAATTTGAAAACAAGAAAATTATAAAATGATTATAATCATTAGATTGAACATATGGAATTACTGATAATCAAATGTTTTTAACCTACAAAAATGGCAAATGTACATAGTTCAACTTAAAGTGGAGCTGCAGAGAAAAAGAAACCTTTGCTGATGGCACTATTAACTGGTTCATTCCTTTTGGAAAGCAATGTAGCAAAATGTAACAAAAGGTTATAAAACCCTAATTCAATAATTCTACTCTAGCAATATCTTGAGAAAATGATAATTAAATTAAATTAGTATAAATGTTTGTAATTTAGTCATGATTATAAAATATAAGAACCCAAATAGTCAATAATGAGAGAACCAAGTAAACCATGAGACATTAAGACAATGGAAATTATATGAGTTACATTATCATACAGAACTATATATATTAAATTGGAGCTAAAAAACCCAGAATAACATATTACGGTATATAAAAGACATGTGTGGCCACTGATTCAGAAACAGTGATTTTATCTCTATTTATTTTTATTTATTTTTAAGTAGGCTTCATGCTGGGCATGGTGCTTGAAATCACAACCCTGAGATCAAGACCTGGGCTGAGCTCAAGAGTTGGATATTTAACCATGGTCTTAAAATCCAATTCACAAAAGAATATCAAATACCAACAAAATACCAAGCACTGTGTGCCAGGCATTACACTAAGAACTTTGTATATAGTAACTCCTTGAATCCTCCAATAACCTATGAGCTGTTATTTGCATTTTACAGATAACGAGACTGAAGCATATAAGGATTCAGTACCTGCTCAAGGTGACACATATCCTAACTGGTAGAACTGAGATTCACACCCCAGCAATCCTCTATACTCTTAACTACACTGCACTGCCCCTCTACTTTATAGTTTTATATTCACAGCTCATTTTCATCTTCAGTTTGGGTCAAATAAGTCAGTTTGGTGGGCATTATATAAATGAATTATCTGCTTAATACCCTAGTAAGAAATTTTATTATCCTTTGAAGTTAGATCTAATTTTTAGAAACATATATTTTTTATAGTTAAGGATATTTGCAAAAGAGCGTACCTGAGGCTCCAAAGCTCCCTGTCAAAGGATAAGATATAATCTTTGCCCTGCAGAAACTTATAGTCTGCTGGGAAAACAGATAAACCAATATTGCAATATAATGTATAAATTTTTAAGCCTGCCATTCATCTCAGTAGCTTGGGAAGTCTCTTAAGTATCACATTCTTATGTGAAAATCACTAGATTTTCATTTTTCATTTTTATATTTTATTCTTTTAAATCTCTACTATATAACACGTGCACTTAAGGGGAAAAAAATTAATGTTTAAAGTCACTGTTTCTGGGCACCTGGGTGGCTCAGTAGAGGTTGAGCATCTGACTCTTGATTTTGGCTCAGGCCTTGACTCATCTCAGGGTCATGAGTTCAGGCCCCACGCTGGGCTCCACATTGAGCAAGGAGCCTACTTAAAAAACAAACAAACAAAAACAACACATACACACAAAACACACACAAAAAAGAAAATGCATTTCAAATTTATTTAAGCCAGCACTACTTATAATGGGATGTCCAAACTGGATGTCAGTCAGTGATCTATTTGTTACTGGACTGCAGTGAGACAAGTTGCTTCTCCCAAGATATAAATAAACTCTAGCTGACTTTTTCCAAGGCAAATCTTTCTCAATAAAGTATAATATTGATTTGCATTCTACTCTAAGTTCCTTATTTCACTGCAAGCAAGCATAGTTTGCATTGTAAACATAGTTATATGTGCAAGTGTATCCACACATATCCATAAATATCCTTAGAGTCATATCTCATATATAAAACAAGTATACACAATTTTGTCTGCATTACAAAAATAAAAAGATGCAATACTACCAGTTCTGGAGTGAAGTCTCTTTCTCCAAACCAATTACTCAGATATTCCAATACGCTAGTTACTGTTGCCTAAAAAAAGGGGAAAGGGGAGGTGGAAGAAATGTATTAGTAATAAAACAAAGGCGAGTTCAACATGGGTTTCATTAAGTTTAGTTAAAAAGCAACTCTGATATTAAAAATAGTCCCATTCTTTAGACTTCCAGAGAAACTGACTGTATTTAGTAATTTGGTTAGGTGGCTCACTCAGAGAAGAAGCTTTTTAGACAAATATTTTTAAGTACTTTCAAGTATCAATACCTTGCTTTAAACCCGAGGATTTAGTCTGTAACCACTAACTTAGTTTAAAAATACTTGAAAAATTCCCCTGGCTCTTAAAAAAAATCTTTGCATAAATACCTTCAAATTATTTTCATTAAGTCAAATAAAAATATAAGGAGAAAGTTAGCTAGAGAAAGATCTGTTTTAAAGCTATATAGATAGAATTTATCAAACTGTTGAAAATATTCTCTTGCTTCTTCAAGCATAATTGGACACTTAACAAAAGTCACTCATTGAATTTACTATGATTACAGTATTTTAAAGCAAATGATCAAGTAAGACTATTAGTCATTATAGGATTTACAACAGAGCACGACACTTAAAAAAATTTATCTTTCAAGGGCACCCAAAGCTATGTGAAGGCAAAATAATCAAATTTCTCATCTGCTATTTAAATGGATAACAGAGTTCTTCATCCTAAGAGTGAAGAAGCGTTTGATCCAAGAAATTATCTATTTCATTCTTAATGGGATATATAGGACATCTGGAACTAGAAGTAACAATCTAACCTCAGTTTTACTTCAAACCCCAGAATCTAAGACTTAAAACTGAAATATACACAATTGAAGAGTTGAGCAACATGATGTAGCATGAGCTCTGGAATTAGATCAAACTGGGGTTAAATCCCAGGGTGCCATTAGAACTTGCTGAAACCACCTGCAAGTCACTTAGCTTTCAATTTCATTTCCTATCTATAAAAACTGGATATTAATAATAATTCTCAATATGAGTCGTACTGGGAATTAAATAACAATTGTTAATGAGGTTAGGACAGGGCCTTATGTACTGTAAGCATTCAATGAATGTGTTTATATACTCTCATACACATTAAAACAACAAAATACATGTATCAGTATTATTGGATGGATTTTACCTGATTCATTCTGCTAACAATACTAAGCAAGGGAGGAAAACCAATCTGAAAGAAAAATGAGACTGAAATTTACTAAATGGTATTATAAAGGGTGCTTCATTATTTTCAAACTCCTGAGTTTTGGTTTTTTTTTTTAAAAGATTTTATTTATTTATTTGACAGACAGAGATCACAAGTAGGCAGAAAGGCAGGCAGAGAGAGAGAAGGAAGCAGGCTCCCAGCTGAGCTGAGAGCCCAATGCGGGGCTCGATCCCCGGACCCTGGGATCACGACCCGAGCTGAAGACAGAGGCTTTAACCCACTGAGCCACCCAGGTGCCCCCAAACTCGTGAGTTTCTTATCACAATTTTTAAAAACAAAGAATGACTAACAGGAAATTCCTTCATTACCCATTATAATAAAACATTCTATCAACTATTACATTGGTAATGCCTCAAAAAATATTTTGCAATTTGAATATATAAATTTAAAAATGACATAATTAAAATATGAAATTTCCTAAACTAATACTATGATACTATTGATACTATATTAATATGCTGCACACATGTTTTCAAAATCTGCAGCTAAAGCTAACATTTTCAGGAATAAAGGGCACTCAGAATTTTTTTCAAACCTAAGCTGATTCAATTAAAAAAGTATTTTGAGGGGCACCTGGGTGGCTCAGTGGGTTAAGCCTCTGCCTTCGGCCCAGGTCATGATCTCAGGGTCCTGGGATCGAGCCCCACATTGGATTCCCCTCTCTCTCTGCCTGCTGCTCTGCCTACTTATGATCTCTATCCCTCTGTCAAATAAATAAATAAAATCTAAAAAAAAAAAAAAAGTATTTTGAGGGGCGCCTGAGTGGCTCAGTTGTTAAGCATCTGCCTTCGGCTCAGGTCATGATCCTAGGGTCCTGGGATTGAGCCCCACATTGGACTCCCTGCTTGGCAGGAAGCCTGCTTCTTCCTCTACCACTCTTCCTGGTTCTGTTGCCTCTCTCGCTGTGGTCTCTGTCAAATAAATAAATAAATAAAATCTTAAAAAAAAAAAAGTATTTTGAAGTTTTAATGCTGGGAGCCCTCATTATGAAAATAGCATTGGGCGCCTGGGTGGCTCAGTGGATTAACCCCCTGCCTTCAGCTCAAGTCATGATCTCAGGGTCCTGGGATTGAGTCCCACGGGCTCTCTACTCAGCGGGAAGCCTGCTTCCCTCTCTCGCTCTCTGCCTGCCTCTCTGCCTACTTGTGATCTCTCTGTCAAATAAATAAATAAAATCTTAAAAAAAAAAAAGAAAGAAAGAAAATAGCATTGACTTTAGATAAAGTTAAGGGGATATGCATTAACTCTGCCTCCTTAAATGGTTCTTCCACATGGTGTATTTTACTTTCATATATTTTGTAATAACAAGCTAAGTAAGTTGTAATTTTTTTGTCCAATTAGAATACATTTTGAAATATAACATCCATTAGGATATTATCCAAAAAAACCCAACAGATTGTATAAGAAACAGGGCCAAATTAGTTTGCTTACAGACCTGAATCTATTTACACCCCACCACCATGTATAAAAGTACCTATTTTCCCAGCCCTTGTTAAAAGAGCTATCAAATTTCCTTTGCCAATGTTACTTGAAAAATAGTAGCTCAGTGGAGTTATGAGTTACATTTCTATGGTGAGTGAATATGGCATCTTCTCATATAAGAGTAATTTATATTTTTCTTTCTGTGAGCTATTTATAGCCTTTGCATTTTCTTTGTTTTTCGTTTCTTTTTTTAAAAAAGATTTTATTTATTTGATAGAGAGATAGTGAGAGAGGGAACACAAGCAGGGGGAGTGGGAGAGGGAGAAGCAGGCTTCCCAACAGATAAGGGAGCCCTATGCAGGGCTCGATCCCAGGACCCTGGGATTATGACCTGAGCCGAAGGCAGATGCTTAACGACTGAGCAGGTCGTTAGGTGCCCCTGCCTTTTCTGTTTTAATTGGTTGTTGGTCTTTCAGTGATTTTTGATGTTTTTTGGTTTGTTTTTTAAAGTAGGTTCCACACCCAGCATGGAGCCCAGTGTGGGGCTTTCACTCATAACCCTGAGATCAAGATCTGAGGTGAAATCAAGATTTGAATGCTCAACCTACTGAGCCACCCAGGAGCCCCAATTTTTAGAGCTTTTACATTTTTTGGATCAGTTACTTTTAAATGGAGATAAACACACAAACTGTAGGGCCAAGAAGCAGTTGGCACATGATTTATGATTAGAATAAAGCCATGGAAAATATAAGTATACCTTCAAAAGTTCATCTCCAGAATATGAAAGCTACTAAGCATTTTTAAGCCCCTGTGTCATGTTTTCCTTTGTTTCCTGGACTACGCAAAACTCATAACCCTTTAACGCTTAATCATTTAAAAAAAACCCTGAATCCTATCTAACTCAGGAAATTATCACATAGCTAAAACTTAAGAGATACAAAGCCCACCTAAGAAAAGTCATAGTATGGGGAGCCTGGGTGGCTCAGCTGGTTAAGCATCTGCAATCATCTCAGGTCACGATCCCAGAGTCCTGGGATGGAGTCTCACGTTGGGCTTCCTGCTCTGTGTAAGCCTGTGAGAATTCTCCCTCTCCCTGCCACTCCCCCTGCTTGTACTCTTTCTCTCTGTGTCAAATAAATAAATCTTAAAAAAAGAAAGAAAGAGGGGTGCCTGGGTGGCTCAGTGGGTTAAAGCCTCTGCCTTCGGCTCAGGACATGATACCAGCATCCTGGGATTGAGCCCCGCATTGGGCTCTCTGCTCAGCAGGGAGCCTGCTTCCTCCTCTCTCTCTCTGCCTGCCTCTCTGCCTACTTGTGATCTCTGTCAAATAAATAAATAAAATCTTTAAAAAAAAAAAAAAAAGAAAGAAAGGTAGGTCACAGTACATTGTTTCAGAAACTGGGCTGCACATTTTTTTTTTTTTTTTTAAAGATTTTATTTATTTTTCAGCGACAGAGGGAGAGCGAGTGAGCACAGGCAGACAGAGGCAGAGGGAGAAGCAGGCTCCCCGCCGAGCAAGGAGCCCGATGTGGGACTCGATCCCAGGACGCTGGGATCATGACCTGAGCCGAAGGCAGCTGCTTAACCAACTGAGCCACCCAGGCGTCCCGGGCTGCACATTTTTAAGTAAGAGAGCCAATTAGCTAGGTCATAGGTTGGCAAACATTTTCTGTAAAGAGCCAGACAGTATTTTAGGCTTTGCAGGCCATACACTCAGTAACTTAGTATTATTTAAAAAACACTCTTGGCTCATAGGCTACACAAAAACAGGCTGCAAACTAGATATGGCCTAGGCTATAGTTTCAGAATCTTTGTATCAAATCATACACCAAAAGTAGAACTCTTTTGGTTTATCCACAGATCACCTACTTGCACATAATCGATTCCAGGACCTTCACTGGTAGCTGGTCCAACAGCCCCTTCAGCACATAACCTTTCACCCAGACAAAATTTTTTCCAGCCTTCTTCATCTTCAGATTTTGGCTAAAAGAAAAAAAAAATTATCTTATATCTATGTTGTTTTTGTTTTTAACTGAATAGTTTAAAAAAAAAAAAAGTGAAGTCTTTTATATTCCTACCACTTCAACAGAAAGATATGGTGCCTATTATGGGATGAATTTGTCCCCCCAAAATTTGTATGTTGAAGCCCTACCCTCCAGTATCTTAGACTGTGACTGTATTTGGACAAGGCCTTTATAATGGATTATGTTAAAATCGGGCTTTTAGGGTGGGCTTTCATCATATGACCAATGTCCTTCTAAGAAGAGGAAATTTAGGGGTGCCTGAGTGGTACAGTCAGTTAAGTGTCCAACTCTTGGTTTATGCGCCAGTGGTGATCTCAGACCCCTCGTTGGGCTCCATGCTCAGAGTGCAGAGTCTGCTTGAGACTCTTTCCCCTTCTCCCCTTGCCCCTCCCCACATGTACACACACTCTCTCTAGAATAAATAAATCTGGGACTCCTGGGTGGTCAGTTGGTTAGGCGGCTCCCTTCAGCTCAGGTCATGATCCCAGCATCCTGGGATCGAGTCCCGCATTGGGCTCCTTGCTCGGCAGGGAGCCTACTTCTCTCTCTGTCTCTGCCTGCTACTCTGTCTGCCTGTGCTCGCTTGCTCTCTCTCTCTGACAAATAAATAAATAAAATCTTTAAAATAAAATAAATCTTAAAAAAAAAAAAAAGGAAATGTAGACATAACAAGAGGCACTGAAGATGCCTGTGCACATAGGAAAGACCATGTGAGGACACAGCCACATGGCCACCTGCAAGCCAAAGAGACTTCAGGAGGAACAAAACATGTTAATACCTTCATCTTAGACTTGTAGCCTAGAGAACTGTGAGAAAATAAATTACTGTTTGCTAAAACACCGAGGCTGTGGTGTTTTATTATGGCAGCCCTAGCAAATTAATAAAGTGCCCAAGTGTTACACATCATGTGGGATGTGTTTAGTTTGGATCACACTTTAATGGATACTGACAAACAAGGGTTTGTTCAAGAGGATGATAAAGATGGAAACTAGTATGGAAAAAAAATGCACTAAAAACACAAGAATGAAGGATGTTTATACCAGGGAAGGAGACAGAATTATATGCTTCACATACTTGAAAGGACAGTCCAACCAAAGAAAGATTTATTCTACACTACCAAATGCAGTTCCAAGGGGGAGAAGCACTGATAAAAAATTTTATTTGCACATTACTTTGCACAGGTGTAGTCTTCCCCTCTGAGGACAAATAGCTTTCATTAGAGTCTCAGGACAAACATGAGACCCCTGAAAGATTAAAACCTATTGTACTAGAACACTGTATCTGCCCTTTCCTTTACTCCATTAGGTCAGAGACTATTTCTATTTCAGGTAACACTGAATACCCTGATTACTAAAAATAGGTACTTAATAAATGACTGACTAAATCAGTAAATAAATGTTTTAAATATTTGCTTGTTGCTTTAAATAAACTATTAGAGTGCTCTACTTAAAAAATTCATTTTATTATTTACATAACATTTATTTTTGCCATGATGAACATGGTATTACTATTTCACTGTTTTCTTGGATCATGATTTATTCAACCATGTTCAGTCATTTACATTTTTTACAAAATTGTATTGTCATGTTACTGATGCAGCTTCTTTTTGAATTAGTAAGCATCTACCCAAAAGTTCTTATACTGAGCAAGAAAAAAATGTGTCTACTCACTTACCCCCTCTCCCTCCACTACCTTTTCCCAGGAGGCCTCAAAGCAGAGAAAAGCTTTATAGACAAACTTTGGTTTGAATCTCAGCTATACCTTTTATGAGTTAAATGATCTTAGGCAAGTGATGTTAGTTTGTTTCACACTCTTCCTAGAGCAGAGCTTTCAAATGGCATGAAGAAGCAAGTAGAGTCCATATACTGAATTTCTCAGCTTTCAGCTCCAGTCTAGGGCTATGCAAGCAGCCTCCTCCATTTATCCAAAGGTGTTACCATGTAAAAGATATTAGGAAGCACTGCCTAGAGGAAGCTTCTAAGATCTGAAATCTATGAACTATGTGAAACTGGGAGCAAAACCCTGGTTGCACACAATTTTTTCTTCTGAATATAAACAGCTTTTGTGTGATTCTCAGGAAGAATATCATATTCCCTAAAAAAGTTAGAAGTCTTGTCCTAGAACAATGTATCCATTTCTTCTCCAACTCCCCTTTTTATTCAGTAGTCCAGATACAACATACCTCCTAAAGTTGAAAATTGTATCTAAGCTGATAAAGCACAGAAAATACTACTTTCTAATATGCACAACAGGCTTTACTAAAATGTCACTGGTATTGGCACCATTACCTTACCAGGAAAATCCAATAAGCCTTTATTCAATCTTTTTGTAAATACTGAAAATGCATTTATTTTCTAAAAAATCAAGGTCTAGGAGAACCCTTAAAAATTTGTAGAGGCTTGGGGTGCCAGGGTGGCTCAGTGGGTTGAGCCTCTGCCTTCAGCTCAGGTCATGATCCGGGGGTCCTAGGATCGAGCCCCGCATCGGGCTCTGTGCTCAGCAGGGAGCCTGCTTCCCCCCACCGACCCCTGCCTCTCTGCCTGCCTCTCTGCTTACTTGTGATCTCTGTCTGTCAAATAAATAAATAAATAAATCTTAAAAAAAAATTTGTGGATTAAAACTGTTATAAAAATAACAACTTGCATTACTGATTATATACTACTTTTTTTTTAATTTTTAAAGATTTTTATTTATTTATTTGACAGACAAGAGATCACAAGTAGGCAGAGAGGCAGGCAGAGAAGAAAGGAGGAAGCAGGCTCCTTGTGGAGCAGAGAGCCTAATGTGGAGCTCAATCCCAGAACCCTGGGATCATGACCCGAGCTGAAGGCAGAGGCTTAACCCACTGAGCCACGCAGCCCCAATTATATACTACTTTTAAGGCTACTAATACAACAGAATTATTTCTACTAATGGTCAAGGAAAAAGAACAAAAGTAATATAAACTAAGTAAGTGAATCTTTAAAGTATGGCAGTAAATATGGACTATTTCAAATAGGTACACACTGTACAATTTAAACAAAGAAACTTACATACCATGGTCACATTACTGTCTAACTGTTGTGATTTCCAGTGACTCCTGTGTCTGATCACACTCTAAAGAAAGAAAAGTTAGGCAAGTGATCTTCAGAGAATGGATACCTGAAAATAAAACAATTGTGCAACATCCTAACAATCCTGAAACTTGGAAGCTGGGTTTCAAACTGTATTATGTCTAATGATCATAATCTGGTAATTGATTCATAAATATTTTAACTTTATCCTTCAGAATAATGAATCTTGGGGTGCCTGGGTGGCTCAGTCAGTTAAGTGACTAACTCTTGGTTTTGACTCAGGTCATGATCTCCTGGGTCATGGGACTGAGGCCCTCCTCAGGCTCCACACTCATTGCCCACCAAGGAGTCTGCCTAAAGATTCTCTCTGCCTGCTCCTTCCCCCACTCACATGCCTGCCTGCATGTGTGTGTGCTCTCACTCAAATAAATAAATCTAAAAAAAAAAAAAAAAAAGAAGAAGAAGAAGGAGGAGGAATCTTATTTTTCCAACTATAGTCTAAGAACAGAAATAAATCTTGAGGGAGGAAGATAGAAGGGGTCTAACTTTTTTTTCAATTTAAAATTCAATTAGCCAATATATATTACATCATTAGTTTCTGATGTAGAGTTCAATAATTCATCAGCTGCTTATAACACCCAATGCTCATCACATCATGTGTCCTCCTTAAAGCCCATCATCCAATTACCCCATCCTCCACACACCTCCTCCCCCAGCAACCCTCAGTTTGTTTCCTATAGTTAAGAGTCTCTCATGGATTGTCTCCCTCTCTGATGACTTCCCATTCAGTTTTCCCTCCCTTCCCCCCTGATCCTCTGTGCTGTGTATCATATTCCACATATGAGTGAAACCATATAATGGTCTTTCTCTGATGGGAGGGGTTTAATTTGATTAAATAATTAAAGTACACTTACTTGTCGAACAGATGAAAACTGTGCCACTTGTTGTTGCTGCCACTGAAGTGTGGGAGAATATCCTTCTGGAGCAGGCTGGCATCCTGAAAGCTGGAGATCAGTTCATAAATATTAGAATCAATGTTGGTGTTATAACTAGAATCTCATGCCTCTACAAAGTAAAAGCAGAATCAAAATGAAGAGTAATAAATGATTAAGGTTATATAATAAAGATACTATACACTTGCAGATGCAAAAAAGTAGGCCCTTCTCTTTTTTATGTCCAAGTTTAAACATTAGGAAAAGATCCCTGTAGAGTCATTTCAATAAGAGCAATCTGAAACGGTTCATAGTTGGAATTTCTAACCTAAGAAATCTAAATTATATGGGCCCTGAAGATATAATTTAGTCCTACCTTTCTATAATTAAAAAAAAAAAAACAAAACAGTTTGAAACAGAAGAGATATATCCCAAACTAAAGAATGCTGGTATAGGAAGAATGTACTCAAATAATCTAAGACACTTGACTTTACAAAGGCTACTTTAACTTTCTAACACAGCATAACAGTTCAAAACTGATGACAGATTGCCTTGAAATAAAAGTGTATATTTCAAAAGCTAGGTATGTAAGACATTCTCATCCATCAACTAAAAATTTCTGAGAAGAAATTATATCAAACAGTATAGTATCTGAATTAAAAATATCCCGATAATAAACACTAGACAAATAAATTACTTAGAACATAAAAGGAAAAGGACCTATCAAAATTTAAAAGCTGCTGCTCTCCTTTGACCTTAGGTTAAATAGCATGACCTTAGAGAGACCTTCTGCAACAACTCTACCTTGTTACTTATTGGTCATTACACATGGTAATTTTCTTCATATCAATAGTCGCAATATACAATTACTTTGTTTGCTTGTTTACTGTCTTCCTTAGGAGAATGTAAACTCTACTAAGGTGGGGATTCTTCTGTCTCATTCTCTGTTGTATTCCCAGTGCCTGGCACAACCTAGTTGCTTAATAAAAAATGTGCTGGTTAAATAAAAGAACAAAAATGTTTCTGGTGTGCAAGTAACTAGAAAAAATGTAAGATACTTGAGTTTCCCTTCTTAAAAAACAAAACCCAGTCAAATTCAGAACATGCAAACTACACTAAATAACGTTAAACACTAGTCTAAGAATAATTATGAAATCAAGTGGAAAAAGGTTCCCTAAAAATAAATGATAATGTAAGTAACCTATTTAAAGAGTCCTTTAGGACTGCCCTAAAGTATGAGGAGTCTCCACGAATACCAGCGTTACTGAAAACCTCTCTGGAGGCGGTAAATGCCAACTGTCCTTTTGGGGAAAATGTACAAGCTAATGTCTAATGTTACAGGGAATAGTGAAATCTTACATATATCATAGAGATACTGTGAGACCATAGGAAAAGCATTGATCTTTCCGTTTGGGCGGGGAGGGGAAAAGGGAAGAATCCCGGGCTGGGTAATAAAACTCACAGAAACATTCACACTTTGCTTCCTTTTCAACTTCTTTGGATCAATCTGAGCTACCACAACATCTGGACATCGAGCTGCTTCGATCCTACAAATAAGTAATAAATGCAAGAAATGTGATTACGGCTGTGCTTTGTTCATGGGCAGTAAAAGGAGCGATCCATTTCTACGGTTCTTTACGAAATCTGAATAATAGTACAGAATTGCAGTTGACGTACTAAACAATATATTTCCGAAATTAACTGGATTGAAAGTAAGGAAATCTGAAAGTACACATCTTGACATAGGTAAACAGAATTACGTTCATAAAAACTCGCCCAGATAAAGAAGTAATCAAGTGATCTTGATTCGACCCTACCTCGCGTTAGACTGGGAAGGGAAACAGGCGGGGAGGGGTGGTGTAGAGCTGTGCCCAGGGGCAGAGCGGACGACCAGCCCACCCTTCCAGGACCGAGTCACTTACTGGACCCGCCTCAGGTATTCCTGAGGCGTCCTCGGGGGTACGGAGGGATCAAAACTTTCTGTCAAGTCGCAGGGCTCCACTGGCAACAGCCTGGGCATCAACTCTTCTACTGCAAACTCCGCCGGTACCCACGCCATGGTTTTTAATCCAACCAGTCCCACTCAGCGCATGCGCCAAATCTAGGTCACGGCGCAGGCGCAGAGGTAGGCACCTTCGGCGCGGAGTCAAAGGACGCAGGGCTTGGGAGGCGTAATTGCTCTTGAGGAAGCCTGCTGGTTGTCCCTAAGGTTCAGGGTCCGGTGTTGTAAGAAGACAGTGAATTTAGTTCCTTGAAGAAGTGGTTTTGAAGTGTTTCTGTTTTCCCTCTGTTCTCGTACACGGCGAGGGTAAAGACTGAGGATTATTAACCTTTATGCATCTGCAGGAGTGAGGAATCCTTGAATATTTTTTGAACTAACGAGCAGTGCCCCTGGTAGACACATCACGTATATTTCCTCGTTTAATTTTTAAACCAACTTTTTGAAGTAAGTGGTATTGTGGTATTATCCCGGTTTTGTAGAGGAGGAAATCGATGGGTTTAAGTACTACAACTGTGACTTTTTCCCAAAGGGGAAGAGCCATTTCAACCCGGATTTATCTGATGCTAAATGAATGAGAAATTAATTTTCCAGAAGAATTTCATGTGCTTGGCTACTTGAAAGATCGCTTTATACTTGCCTGAAATAAGTATTAGTCCTTGAGTAGCCATTACTTTCTTCTTTTTCTTTGGAGAAATATAAATAGTGAAAGGATAAAGCTAATGCTAATTCCCAAAAGTTACCATGGTTAATCTTAGGGCCAATCTTGTGAGGCAGGTAGTATTATCTCCATTTTACAGGTGAAACAAGCCAGAAATGAATTAAGTAACTTGTGCTGAGTGACAAATGCCAAGAAACAATGAAAGTATTATATTTCATTCTTTCTAAACAAGCTCTAAGTGAATATAATTGGCTTTTATTTTCTAAGATTATGTTTATTTTTAAGGATTTATTTATTTATTTAAAAAGATTTTATTTATTTATTTGACAGACAGAGATCACAAGTAGGCAGAGAAGCAGGCAGAGAGAGAGAGAGGAGGAAGCCGGCTCCCTGCTGAGCAGAGAGCCCAAAGTGGGGCTCTATCTCAGGACCATGGGATCATGACCTGAGCGGAGGGAGAGGCTTTAACCCACTGAGCCACCCAGGCGCCCCAAGGCTTTTTTTTTTTTTTTTAAAGCACTGCATTTAGTTTGCAAGCAATTGATTTCAAAACCAAAATGTAACTCTCTCATTTGAAAATAAAATGAGGACAAGTTCTTGGGTTAAGAGCTAAAGAAATTTGTGTTTATGAACAGTAACTAAACAATTGGCAGACTCGTAAACATACTGCTTTGCAGCAAACTGGAAGGTTATTTGGTTAAAAATGTTACTGATTTGGGGGCACCTGGGTGGCTCAGTTGGTTAAGCAACTGCCTTCGGCTCAGGTCCGATCATGATCCTGGTCATGATCCTGGAGTCCTGGGATCAAGTCCCACATCGGGCTCCCTGCTCGGCGGGAAGTCTGCTTCTCCCTCTGATCTCTCCCTTCTCATGCTCTCATTCTCTCTCTCAAATAAATAAATAAAAATAAAATATTTTAAAAAATGTTACTGATTTTGTAATAACTTTGGTGACAAAAGGTAACTACACTTACTGAGATGTGCATTTAAAAATTTTTTTTTTACTGATTTTGGAAGAAGTAAAGTTAAAGAGACATATGAAGATTCTTGTCCCCATTTTGATAATAATCAAGAAAAAATTAGGAAATGTAATGAATTACTTCATTTTGGATTTTTTTTTCTTTTCTTTTTTGTTTTTTAGGATTTTATTTATTTATTTGACCTAGGGAGAGACAGTGGAAGAGGGAACACAAGCAGGGGAAGCGGGAGAGAAGCAGGTTTCCTGCCAAGCAAGGAGCCCTGGATGCTCGGCTTGATCCCAGAAACCCCGGATCATTACCCCAGCTGAAGGCAGACGTCTAACGACTGAACCACCTAGGCACCCCTTCATTTCTGGATTTTCTTACTTTTTGTGTGTGTGGGGGGGAACCTTACTTGTTAGCATTTTCCACCCACTTTTTGGATACAAGAACAAATAACTTCCTAGGAAACCAATAAACCACCAAAGGAACAATGTTTAACACTGGATTTCATGTATAGGTACGTGGTGTAACTACACATAGATGAATGAAGAAAGGAGAAGAATAGCAGAATGGAACACAGGTTGTCAGTAATTATTTTCCAAAAGAAGGGATGAGTAATAAAGTACTCGAATGATTTGAAATAGTTCTAAAATTTAAAATACACAGGAATGAATTCATTCAGGAAAGAGGAAAGTAAGTTAAAAATTCATAAGGGTTGCTTTCTGCTTCTGCAGTGGAGTAAGAAAGATTTATACTGGGAAAAAAAGGAAGGCTTCAGATATGCCCTGGTTGGAGACTGTGACATGGGAAAGCTCTAGGTGGGCTACTGTAAGAAAGGTAAAATTTCTCCTCCACCCTCTTAGGGTCTCTGGCTGGGCCTAGTAATTAAACTGACATAAGACTGCTCAACAAGAGAAAAGCATAAAAATTTTATTGAGTATTTCTTACACGTATGTGGGACCCTTTAAAGAAAAATCAAGACCCCAGTAAGGTTGGACTGAAAGCTTATATAATGGGTTGCACAAAGTAAACGTTTAGGGGCACCTGGGTGGCTCAGTGGGTTAAGCCTCTGCCTTCAGCTCAGGTCATGATCTCAGGGTCCTGGGATCAAGCCCCGCATCGGGCTCTCTGCTTGGCGGGGGGCCTGCTTCCCTCTTTCTCTGCCTGCTTCTCTGCCTACTTGTGATCTCTGTCTGTCAAATAAATAAAATCTTTAAAAAAGAAAAGTAAATTTTTATAATGTAACAACACAAAGGAATTTGGGCTGGAGCAGTTAATTGTGGGAAAGTAACCAGAAAGATAAGGGTTTAGTTTAGATTTTTTTTATACATATATGTATATATGTATATATATGTATATGTGTGTGTATGTGTGTGTGTGTGTGTGTGTGTGTAGGTCTGGCCATTGTCCATTTGTATATTGAATCTTAGCAAGTAGATGAAAGACTGTTCAGGACCTTATTACTAGAAGAAATAGGTCATGTTGGAAAAGTTGGAAGGAGGTCAATATGGTTTACGCATAGAGAGTAGGGAATGAATGGTGCTAGATAAGGTTGTGAGAAACATAGCTGTATGTAGTTATGTATGCGGCACCTTCTCACTGTGTGTTGGGGGTTGTCAGTGCCCTCCAACCACAGACTACCAGAACACTCCTGTAGTCACATGATTATTGAGACTAGGGTTATGTCTCAGTAAAAGGATGCTAAAACTAACTTACTTATCATAGGATTTGGGCCTTGGTGATTTGGGGCTGTGATGCAGCTTTTTCTGTCAGGAAATGGGAGTAATTTTGAGTCTGACTGCTGGTTTAAAACCTGTGGGTGATTTTTGATGCCTGATAATAGCAGTTAAAAAGGCTTTACCTGTCAGGCTTCACAGGCGAAAACTGCCCTACCCATACCAGAGTTGGTGCACAGCCAGTGCATGGCAGTCTCTGAAGAGAGCTGCAGTCAGACTCAGTCCCTACTAGTTGGCAGTGCTCTTAAGCATAGTTGCATTCCTAGCCAGGTGTCCTCATTTGGAGGTCTCCCTATCGGGAAAATGACCCATTCCCTCAGTACCTAGTACTTTTCCATTCCTACCACCCTTTCCTCCCCAACCCTCACAATGGCTCTGGTTCTATAAATCTGCACTTGTTAGGGACTCCCTCAACAGTAAGATCACCCCCAAGTTTGCACTGATCCCCCTGGCCCTCAAATAGGGGGAGAGTTTGTTCCATGGGGTGATGAACAGGCTCTTGCTTATACAATCATAGTAAGTGATTAGTGGCTTCACCATTAATTTCGTTTTGGTGCATTGTTGATTTAATTCCCTACTTTGACATCTGGCAGCTGAATTCTTTCTCTAGCTCATCTGAGCACAAATTCTGTGATTAGGTATCTTAGTAATTCTTTTTTTCTTAAGATTTCATTTATTTATTTATTTATTTATTTTTAAAGATTTTATTTATTTATTTGACAGACAGAGATCACAAGTAGGCAGAGAGGCAGGCAGAGAGAGAGAGAGGAGGAAGCAGGCTCCCTGATAAACAGAGAGCCCGACGCGGGGCTCGATCCCAGCACCCCAGGATCATGACCTGAGCCAAAGGCAGAGGTCTTAACCCACTGAGCCACCCAGGCGCCCCTCATTTATTTATTTGAAAGAGAGAGAGAGAGAAAGAGAGCGCAGGAGCAGGGGCAGAGGGAGAGGAGTGAGAGAAGCAGACTCCGGGGCTAAGCAGGGGGCCGGACACCAGGCTCCATCCCAGGATCATGACCTGAGCAGAAGGCTGACGCTTAAGGAACGACTGAGCCACCCAGGCACTCCTGATTAAATAAACTCTTAGTAATCATTTTGGACTTGATCAGAGTGGCAGGATGAAGTGATGTTGAAATATAGTATTGGTGGGTCACTCTGTGGAACAGAAATACCTGCTGTTTGAACAAGAGCGAGAAACTTTTTTTTTTTTTAAGATTTTATTTATTTATTTGACAGACAGAGATCACAGGTAGGCAGAGAAGCTGGCAGAGAGAGAGGAGGAAGCAGGCTCCCCGCTGAGCAGAGAGCCCAATGCAGGGCTCGATTCCAGGACCCTGGGATCATGACCTGAGCTGAAGGCAGAGGCTTTAACCCACTGAGCCACCCAGGCGCCCCAAGAGCGAGAAACTTTGAAAGCAAATCTTGTTAACATTTAAAGGGGAAAACACAGACATGAAATGAAAACTCATTGTTATAGGTTTTAAATGGGCATCAGCACCTTGACCTTGGATATGCTATTTAACCTCTTTTATCTTTACTTTCATTGTTATGTATAGGGGTTAGACCAAATGATCACTAAGTTCTATTTGAATTTAGAATTCTGTAACTCTCGTGTGTAATTTATAAATTAGCCTTATTTATAATTACTATATTGAATGTGATTCTAGTGTGTGTGCACACACTAGAGCACACTAGTCCAATATATATGGACTTGACACACTACTGATGCTGAAAATTCAAAGTTAGAACAATCTGAGTATTGCTTTTTCTAGTGAGTACTACAAAAATAGTTGGTGAGTGCCTTATAATGTCACAGTCTGAACAAATGGAAGAGAATCCACATTAGAAAAAACTGCAGGCACTTGATTTATATTAGAAAATGTGTTAAACAAACAAACAAAAAGAACTGGGGAAAGCTCCATCTGGTGGTGATCATATGAAATTCCAAGCAAATTACATTATTCTATTTCCCTTGACTCTTCAAAGTTCTGGAATCTTCAGTTGAGAAACATCTTTGGGGGACACCTGGGTGGCTCAGGGGGTTAAAGCCTTTGCCTTTGGCTCAGTCATGATCCTGGGTCTTGGGATTGAGTCCCGAATCAGGCTCTCTGCCCAGCGGGGAGCCTGCTTCCTCCTCTGTCTCTGCCTGTCTCTCTGCCTAATTGTGATCTCTGTCAAATAAATAAATAAATAAATCTTTAAAAAAACAAAAAACAAGAAACATCTTTGGGTTCAGAAGTAGGCAGGAAAATACTGGTTGTTACACACTAACTATTATTTAAGGTAATTAATGACTGAAAACAAAGTCATAGGGTGTTCAGAATACTTGAATCCTAGATAGTCCTAGGGAAAAAAGTTTCGAGGTCAAATATCCTTGGGAAATGTATTTATTTTTTTATTTTTTGAGATTTTATTTATTCACTCGACAGACAGAGATCACAAGTAGGCAGAGAAGCAGGCAGAGAGAGGAGGAAGCAGGCTCCCCGCTGAGCAGAGAGCAGGATGTGAGGCTCAATCCTGGACTCTGAGCTGAAGGCAGAGGCTTTAACCCACTGAGATACTCTGGCGGCCTGGGAAGTGTATTTAAATGCTGTCCTTAGGGCGCCTGGGTGACTCAGTGGGTTAAGCCTCTGCCTTCGGCTCCTGTCATGATCTTAGGATCCTGGGATCGAGTCCCGCATGGGGCTCTCTGCTCAGCGGGGAGCCTGCTTCCTCCTCTCTCTCTCTGCCTGCCTCTCTGCCTACTTGTGATTTCTGTCAAATAAATAAATAAAATCTTAAAAATAAATTCTGTGCTTAAAGATTCACAATGAATATTAGCATATTAAAACCCCTGACAAGTCAGGAGACCTATTTTACATAATTTCACTGGTGTTACCAGACGTTATTTGACTCTAGAAGCTCTCCTCCGCTCTCTCTCTCTTTAAAGATTTGTTTATTTTAGAGAGAGGGGCAGAGAGAGAGAGAGGGAAAGAGAGAATCTCAAGCAAATTCCCTCCTGAGTGCAGAGCCCCATGCAGGACTTGATCTTAAGACTCTGAGATCATGGGGCACCTGGGTGGCTAAGTGGGTTGAGCCTCTGCCTTCAGCTCATGTCATGATCTCAGGGCCTTGGGATCAAGCCCCACATCACGCTCTTTGCTCAGTGGAGAGCCTGCTTCCCCCTGCCTCTCTGCCTACTTGTGATCTCTCTGTGTCAAATAAATAAGTAAAATCTTTAAAAAAAGAAAAAAAGAAGACCCTGAAATCTTGACCTGAGCTGAAATGAAGAGTGGACACTTAACTGACTGTGCCACCCAAGCGCCCCTTCTCTTTATTTTTATATATATATATATATATATATATATATATATATATTAAAGATTTTATTTATTTATTTATTTATTTGAGTGAGAGAGACAGAGACAGAGAGCAGGAGCAGGGCAGAGGGAGAAGCAGACTCCCCACTGAGCAGGGAACCCGGCTTGATATCAGGACCCTGGGATCATGACCCGAGCTGAGTCGATGGCAGATGTTTAACCCACTGAGCCACCCAGGAGCCCTACTCTCTCTTTTAAATTTTTTTTTAAGATTTTATTTATTTATTTATTTATTTGAGAGCGAGAGAGAAAGCGTGAGAAGGGGGAGAGTCAGAGGGAGAAGCAGACTCCCTGCCAAGCAGGGAGCCCAATGCGGAACTTGATCCGGACACTCCAGGATCACGATCTGAGCTGAAGTCAGTAGCTTAACCAACTGAGCCACCCAGGTGCCCCTCTCTCTTTTTTTTTTTTTTAAGAGGAGATAGAATGTTGAATACACTGCAAGGGAGCAGCAGGTAGGACAGCAGAAAAGAGGCTCTCTGCCTCCCTCTCTTTTTTAACATTCTCTGGCATTTTGAAAATGCCAGTTTGAAAAAGTAATGATCTTAGAGTATTGGGTTTTAAAAAAAGGAATTTTGTTTATTGCAGCATTATTTGCAATGGCCAAATTATGGAAGCAACCCAAGTGTCTATTGATAAATGAATGGGTGAAGGACATGTGTATGTACACATACACACACACAAAGACACGCACAACGGGATATTCTGCCATAAAAAAGGAATAAAATCTTGCCATTTGCAACAAAATGGTTGGATCTAGAGAGTATAATTTTTTTGTTGTTGTTTTTAATTTTTTATTTATTTGACAGAGAGAGACAGCGAGAGAGGGAACACGAGCAGGGGGAGTTGGGAGAGGCAGAAGCAGGCTTCCCGCTGAGCAGGGAGCCCAATGTAGGGCTCAATCCCAGGACCCTGAGATCATGACCCAAGCTGAAGGCAGATACTTAACCAACTGAGCCACCCAGGCACCCATGGAATTAAAATTTTTAAAAATAATGAAAATAAAAAAGAATTTTTTGGGGGAGCTTATGTCAGATTTTGTATTTTTATAGTTAATGCCAAAGCTTAAAAATGATGATAGTAATAATTTTTTAAAGATTTATTTACTTATCTGGGTGGGGTGCAGAGGGAGAGAGAGAAAGAATCTCAAGCAGACCCTGTTGCTGACTGCAGAGCCCAACAATGTAAGGCTTGATCTCATGATCCTGAGATCATTACCTGAGCTGAAATCAATAGTCAGATTTTTTTTTCCCCCTAAAGACTTTATTTATTATTTGTCAGAGGCAGAGAGAGAGAAAGAACAAGCACAAGCGGGGGAGCGGTAGGCAGAGAGAAAAGCAGGCTCCTCAAGGAGCCTAATGTGGGGCTCAGTCCCAGGGCCCTGGCATCATGACCTGAGCTGAAGGCAGACACTTAACCCACTGAGTCACCCAGGCATCCCAATAGTCAGATACCTAACCAACTGTGCCGGGCACCCCAATAATAATAATAATAATAAATATATATATATATATAATTATTTATGTTTTCATGCTCATTCTTGATTTTTTTTTTTTAATGCTGCAAAATGGTGGTTATATAAAAGCATGGGACAAGACCTATGGGCAGAGAGAGCTGCTGCTCATTCATGAACATTTAAGGAAAAATTATTTTGTGCCAGGACCTGTACAAGGTGGTGTAATGAAAGTAAACAATTATAGTCAGTTGCATGTTGGTAAATGTTTAACAACCTTCAGATTCACAGATTAATCCCAAATGCCTTGGGCCAGGGATGTCTATAGATTATGTTAGAAATCCAGAGAAGGTTGTTTTAGGAGAGTCTTCCCTTTCTCCAATTCCTAGTCTAACTTTCCTTTCCCAGTAGCTCAAGATATTTTCCATTCTTTCTCTATTCTTCTCTTCCTCAAATCAAAACCTCTTAACTTTCAGTATACCAAGAAAAATAGTCTTTACCATTTATAATCTGAGTCCAATGGACTCTATAATTTTTACATCTTCATGAGATATTTATACAAATTAGAGTAAAGGGATATTCAAAGCTGTTATAAAAAGAGTAAGCTTGTATAAAAAGAGTAAAGGCATAATGGAAAACAACTGTATTGGAAATTTAATTGTGTAAATATAGCAAATCCCAATTTTTACTTCATATTTTCCTGGTTTTGTAGACATACCCAAAATGAGCAATGTCCTCTGAATGCAACTGCGATGCATGAGTATGGAACATACCCATCTTGTAAATAGTGACTGCAGATTTCAAATGCATCACTACTATATCCTAGCTAATTGTTACGTTTGGTTCTTCATGCATTTGTATCATTAAAACACAGGACTTGAGGACTTTTTTGAGACCTTTAAAGTCTCGTAATTTTTGTTGAAAAGAGGACAGCCATCTTTTTTTTGCTCTGTAATTGCAAATTTTTTTGTATTTTTAGTTTTATAAATAGGCCTGTTTTGCCTATGTCATATCATAGGCACTGCTACTGTACCTGGTACATAGTGTTCAGGAAATATTTGTTGCACTAAGTGAATAAACTAACTTTTCACTTTGTTTGTTTTTTTTAGGGGAGATGTAGTTTTGTGGTTTTAGCAATCAACCAGGGCTCTACATGAGGGGATGTCCTACCGGACGCCGCCCCCGCCCCACCTCGAGTTGAGGAGTCTGGCGACAGAAGTTCCTACTCTCGCCTGTGGCCCTCAGGGAGTGGGATCTGCCCTAGATCCGTGGAAAGGGTTAAGGCGCTCCAGTTCCGCTGGGGCCACTCTCCCCTCAAGTGGTCCCCAACCTGGGCAGTTTCGGTTGCCTCGCCCCCCAGGTTCCGTCACCGCCCCTTCCCTCCCCTTTCTCTTTCTCGTCTCCACCCTCACGGCTCCGCCCGGGTGCCGCGCCCTCCCATTAGTTCGCTCATCCGATAGCCCCGCCCTGGCTCCGTGCACGCCCCTTCCCCTCCCCTCTCTCCTCCTAGTGCCCTATCTCCGCTGCATTCCGCCGGGGCTTGCACTCTCCCCTTCGGTTTCCTGGCGCGGTCGCCCCGCCCCTCCACCCCTTGACGTGGCAGAGGCGGCACCAGCCATGTTGGCCCAGCGGTGTTCTGAGCGGAGGCCGGGGGCGGGGCGGCGCCGGCTGTGATTGCAGTGCCACGGTTGCTCTGGGTCGGCTGAAGGGACCGATTTTGCAAGGTGGTGGCTGCGGCCGGCGCGGATCTCGTTCGGAGGCCCTGGGGTAAGGACCGACTTCGGGTCTTCCTCCTCCCGGCTCCCCGGAGAGGCCGCGGGCGCTCAGCGGAAAGCGGGGGAGGGGAAGCTGTGCTGCTGTGGGCCGGCAGGCGGGTGGGCCGGGGTCTCTTGGGGCTGGTGCCCGCTCTGCCCTCTTGGGGTGCTCCGGAACAGACGGGGGCGCCGGCGGCAGCGACCGGCCGGCGGGGGCACCTTTGAATCCTGACCTCTTCACCCTCTCACCCACCACTCCGCTTCGTTCTTCCGGGCCTGGGGGCCCGGGCCCTTCACCAAGCTCCCCTAGGTAAGGTGCGAAAGATGGGAGTCGGGTGAAAAACGGCAGTTCAGCATCTCGCCCAGCACCCACCCCCGACTCCCGGGCGACCTGCCTTCCTCGCCCCAGCTTATCACTGCTTCTGGACACTTGGCTTCTCGGTTCATGCCTTCCCTGAAGTGCCCTAGACTTTGAACCCAGGTGACTTCGTCACGGGTCGTTCGGCCTCGGGAGTCGAAGAGGATAAGGAGAATTAAGTGGCAGGTCAAGCTAACGCCTTAGGCCTCGATTACAAGTGGTGTGCAGTTTTCAGATCGGACCAGTCTTTTCTGTTGTGCTAGCGTTTTCCCGTTTTGGTGGGAAAGGAAAAGTACAGTCTACATGTCGTCTCTGGGGTATGTTGAATTCACGTGAATTTCCTCAACCTCCACCCGGTAAAGCCGCGTATAAGCAGACAAATTAACTTGGTTAAAAAAAGTTTTAGGTTTAATATGGATTTAAGTATAAATGTTAAGTTTTCCTTCTCTCCCTTTCCAGTAGTCTAACATCGTTTTGGAAGTCCGACCATTTTTATTTGACTCATAGAGTTTTAGAGTTAGAAGGGGCCTTGTAGTTTTTTAGCCTCAGCCCCTCATCTTACCTGAGAAATTGAGGATCAGAGAAGTTATTTGTTCAAGATCATAAATCTAGGCAAGGAAAGCAGTTGAAAACACTTCATTCAGGATTTTACAACTGGAAAGTAGAGAGGCACACTTAATTGGTAAACATCTGATTGGAAGAAATTCAGGTTTTACTTGCAATTTAGGATATTTTTCACTTGGGATCTATAAAAGTGCTATAATTGGAATATTGCAAACTCCTGATTTTTATTGAATAGAAAAAGCTTTAAAAATACTGTGGGCATGTGTTTGATATGGTAGGTTAAAGAGACATGATGTTTTGCTTCTTTGCTTTTAGTTATATCATGAGAAATTATTTAACTAAAGTAAGTTCTGCTGATTATATATAAGTTGTGCTGGGAAATGAGACATTTCTTTAGCATAGTCTTTTGTGTTTTGTACCACTTTAAAAAATATTATGACTATTTTTTTTTTATGACTAGTATTTTAAATCTCCATCCTAATACAGTGTCTGAATCATATTTATTTGGTTTTAACGTAAGATTAGGTGACAAGAGTGCTGATGAAATAATGCCATTTTATAAAAAGCTAGTTTGTGGGGCGCCTGGGTGGCTCAGTGGGTTACAGCTTCTGCCTTCGGCTGGGGTCATGATCCCAGGTCCTGGGATCAAGCCCCGCATCGGGCTCTCTGCTTAGCGGGGAGCCTGCTTCCTCCTCTCTCTCTCCGCCTGCCTCTCTGCCTACTTGTGATCTCTGTCTGTCAAATAAATAAATAAAAATAAAATCTTAAAAAAAAAAAAAAAACTAGTTTGTGAAAGGAATTTATTTTGGATATGCCATTGTTGGTTATGGTCCAGCGTGGAAAGGTTTGTACTAGAATTAGTGATTTTAAAATTGAGCCATTCCTACCTTGGAAAGGTGAGGGAAGTTGGGGAGGTGTTGTGCATGGCCATGTAACTGGACCAGTTAAGAAGTAGGTGGGACTTTTTCAAAATACTGCTGAAAAGTGAGAATGTACAAAATACAACAGATGTGATTTAGTAAACAAATATGATCTTAGAGCAGAGAGGAAAAGGAGGGTAATTGTGCTCAGATATCACACAGGTGATATTTAGTATTTCATAATAAAAAGCACGGATGTTACGATACAGCCTTGTTACTTGTAGAAACTTAAACCTGTCTATTGTGTATAAATGTCTTTATGTTAAATCTAATAGAGCCTTTCTCTACTAGGCTCTCTGATTGAATTGAGCCCTAATGTCTTAAGACCTTGCTTCTTAGGACCCCTTTGTACTCTTGAACATTGTTAAGGATCCAAAACAAAACCCAAAAAAACCCAACTACCCCCCTCCCCCAAAAACCCACCCTGCCTTAATAGAAGACAGGTTGATTTTCATATTTACTTCTGCATTCAGTCTATTGTAATAAGTTATTTTGCTTAAATTGTATGAAAAGTCTTGCCTTACTTAGATACATAGTTGGAAAAAGGAGGAATATTTTAATAACTTTTCCAGATAATTGTGCATATTCTTTTTTCATACTACACTACAACCTGACGGTTTTAATTCAGAAATCAAGGGTTAATAGCAGTGTGAATAATGAAATCTTAGAAGTGAACTTTTTGTACTATATTGCATTGAAATTCATTGGTCTGTCCTGCACTTTGAATGGATCTCTATCCATGCATGATTTTGTAATATCATGAACTGATCATTTGGGAGATTTGCCTCACTGAATAAAGTATATTTTCCAGGGGCGCCTGGGTGGCTCAGTGGTTAAAGCCTCTGCCTTCGGCTCCGGTCATGATCCCAGGGTCCTGGGATCGAGCCCCGCATCGGGCTCTCTGCTCAGTGCAGAGCCTGCTTCTCTCTCTCTCTCTGCCTGCTTCTCTGCCTACTTGTGTTCTCTGTCTGTCAAATAAATAAATAAAATCTTAAAAAAAAAAAAAGTATATTTTCCAAATATTGACATGTTTCATTATACAATAGAAAATTCACATTAGTATCAGCACAGATCTTATCAGAAAAATCTTTACATATTAGCCGGCTGTGAAGCTCAGGGTCATGGACACCGGTTTTCATAAATTTTGATATTTGCAGGGTGCCTGGGTGGTTCAGTGGGTTAAGGATCTGCCTTCTGTTCAGGTCATGATCCCAGGACCTTGAGATGGAGCCCCACATTGGACTTCTTGCTCAGCAGTGAGCCTGCTTTTCCCTCTCCCTCTGTCTGCCACTCTCCCTGCTTGTATACTTTCTGTGTCTTTATCTGTCAAAGAAATAAATAAAATCTTAAACATTTTCTTTTCTTTATATTTGCTTGAAAGCTCACATTTTATCCACGTTAATAACTACTGTCAGTTATTTTCCAGGTGACAGACTTACTTCATCAGTTGAGAAAATGTATGCCAAATATCTAAGTATTAGTTATGTACTATTTTTGGAGAATTGAGAAAATAGTCAAAACATTTTTTTGTGATTTTATGGTTCAGATGAAAAACCCTGATTGGTCTAGTATTTTATTAGGTATTTTAATGCTTTTTGGTGATGCATTTTATTTTTTTTGTATTTAAAAAACTAAAAAAAAAGATTTTGTTTATTTATTTATTTGACACAGAGAGAGAGATCACAAGTAGGCAGAGAGGCAGGCAGAGAGGCAGGCAGAGGGAGAAGGGGAAGCAGGCTCCCCGCTGAGCAGAGAGCCTGTTGTGGGCAGGATCCCAGGACCCTGAGATCATGACCTGAGCCGAAGGTAGAGGCTCAACCCACTGAACCACCCAGATGCCCCTAAAATTTTTTTGATGATACATTTTAGACTACATAGATTCTATTACATATGCAAAAATGGAAAACTTCATTTGGTTTTTGTTCTGTAGAAATAATGGGAGGGATTGCATAGTCCTGGAATTTATATTCACATACATAGCCTGGAAGCTGTTGGTAAGAACGATTTCTCTCCCAGAGGAGGTTGTTTTTTCTTTAAAACTGAGGTTGGCATCTAACTGTCCTCTGACTATTCCAGACTTTTGTTTTATCATGATTTTTCAACATCTGCTTTTTCTTGGAAACTTGTACTGTCCTTCTTGAATTTGGCTTCTGTATTTACCTTGAAGATCGGCTTTTCTAAACAGGTTAGTTATTTTAGGATTCCTCTCTGTCCCTTATCAATCTTTGAAAAATCTGTGTTTGCTTTTGATTAGCATATAGTTTTCTGGTTGTCTGTGAGATTCTGATAGGAATATAGTGTTTAATTTTTTTCTTTTTATATATATGTATTTGTATATATATTTAAAGATTTTATTTATTTGATAGGCAGTGAAAGAGGGAACACAAGCAGGGGGAGAGGGAGAGGGAGAAGCAGGCTTCCTGCTGAGCAGGGAGCCCAATTGTGGGGGGGTGGTGTGCCCATTCCAGGACACTGGGATCATGCTGAGCGAAAGGCAGATGCTTAACAACTGAGCCACCCAGGCGCCCCTAATTTTTCTTTTTTTTAACAGAGATATATTTAATATAGAACATTCTTATGTCTTTTAAATAAAAGAAAATTCTTAGCTGCCAAGGAAGAGAAATAACCTAGATTTGTTAAGCTTCGCTTTCTGTAATACTTATTAACAAAATCTATTTGAAAATGTTCCTAAAATTAAAACCATTATATTCAATATGCTTTTTTTCAAATAATATCTTTTCTTCCCTCAGTTACATTTTAGAATCAGTTCCTCGTCCTATTGTCATTCTTAGCAACTTCAGTATTCCTGTTGGCTCTTTTGGTACCCTACCTTACTAATTCTTTAGTTCTTGATATCTTTCATCTCTCCTTCAAATCTTTGGCCAGCCACATAACAATTTAAACTCTCTATCCTCTCAGAACTTTAAATTTTACAGTTTCCTTCCTTTACAAATCACTGTTGCAGTTTGAGAATGTGAGATAGAACTAACTGTTGTCTAGTTAGGAAGGCTGGCAGTCTACATAGGCAGTAAGAAGAGTAACGAGATGGAGATATGTCTTGATACGGGGCCCTAATGAGAGCGGAATCCTCCTTCTATTAAATTTAAGAGAATATATTGAAATTGTATGTATCAAATTGGAGTTCAAAATGCTCTCCTTGAGGCACCTGGGTGGTTCAGTGGGTTAGGCCTCTGCCATCGGCTCAGGTTGTAATCCCAGGGTCCTGGGATCGAGCCCCACATTGGGCTCTCTGCACAGTGGGAAGCCTGATTCCCCCTCTCTCTCTGCCTCCTCTCTGCCTACTTGTGATCTCTCTTTCTGTCAAATAAATAAATAAAATCTTAAAAAAAAATGCTCTCCTAAGTTGGAATGTTAAAAATATTCTTTTTTTTTTTTTTTAAAGATTTTACTCATTTATTTGTCAGAGATAGAGTACAGGCAGGCAGAGTAGCAGGCAGAGGCAGAGCGAGAAGCAGGCTCCCTGCAGAGCAAGGAGCCCAATGTGGGGCTTGATCCCAGGACACTAGGATCATGACCTGAGCCGAAGGCAGCCGCTTAACCGACTGAGCTACCCAGGCATCCCTAAAAATATTCTTAATTAAGTTTCTGCAAAAGAAGTCAAATGGCATATATAGAACACCACTTAGCAAGCATTTTACTTATTGTGCCACAAATGGTCCTATATTCACACAATAGAAAAATTTACCTGTCTCAAACAGAAGTACTCAGTTTTAGAAAAATGTTTTTGTTATGCACTGTTAAGCATTCTCTTCTAGCAGGTTTTGTGGAAACTTGTCATCTTCTTGTTAGAAAACCATATGAGCTTTAGAATTTAATGTTTTTGATAATCTGTTCATTAGAATAATGTAACTTAGAGGGCTGATACCGAAAACATAGGCTCTAAATTTCCCCCCATCTTTGACTTTCTTTCCTATACACCTTAAATAAATAGGACACCTATTATACTTTTTTTTTTTTTTTTTTTTTTTTTTTTTTAAGAATGACTGAAAAAGGATGAAATACCTCTTACTGGGCCTAATGAACACTTAGTTCTGTAGAGTCATTCATTTGTTATAAGTGAGGTTATTGTTGCTTGCTAATTTTTTTTCTGAGATTGCTCATTTTTCTTGGATGAATATGGTGGACAGTGGAAAAAAAATACTTTAGTTTTTTAAGAGGATTTTTAGGGGCGCCTAGGTGGCTCAGTCGGTTGCGTCTGTCTTCCGCTCAGGGGCTCAGGGTGTGATCCCAGTTGTCAGGCCCCCCTGTTCAGCCGGGAGCCTGCTTCTCCCTCTCCTTCGGCCTGCTGCTCTCCCTGCTTGTGCTCTGTTTGTCCAATAAATAAATAAAATCTTAAAAAGAATAAGATTTTTAAACATCTTTAATTTTATCACAGAAGTAAGCATCACGCACTACGATGACAACGTATTTGGAATTCATCCAACAAAATGAAGAACGAGATGGAGTCCGATTTAGTTGGAATGTTTGGCCATCAAGTCGACTGGAAGCTACAAGAATGGTCGTTCCAGTAGCAGCCCTATTTACACCACTGAAGGAGAGACCTGATTTACCACCTATTCAATATGAACCTGTTCTGTGTAGTAGGACCACTTGCCGTGCAGTTTTGAATCCTTTATGGTAATTAAAATATATTGAAAAAACTAATGTTGCAATCCTATTTAAGATTATAGTTTCTTGTGCATTTATATGAAGGTGTTTGTTTTGTTATAGTTATTTTTTCAAATTAGGGTAGTCACATCCAAGGAGCTGTAAAATTGAAGGATATTCTAGTTGTAGTGAGTTGGTAAGAGACCAAAGGTAAAATTATCACTATATGAACTGTTAGATCCTATCACTAGTATTGCTAGGTACTGGTGATGGCTGTGCATCATTAGACCCATCTTGTGTAATTAGAAAAGTCATAATTGAGTGGTATGGTGTTTGAAAATGTTATGATTTTTTTTAAGATTTTATTTATTTATTTGACAGACAGAGATCACAAGTAGGCAGAGAAGCAGGCAGGGTTAAGGAGGCCTTAACCCACTGAGCCACCCAGGCGCCCCTGAAAATGTTATGATTTCTTAATGCATAAACCAGAATATCAAGAATCATCTTTTATTCCTCTTTCCACCCTCTCTCCCTGCTCAGTCCACTAGCATCTCTGAATCTGCCTCTGGAACATTACTGATTCTGTCTCTCATATTCAGTCTCTGCTAGTACTCTCTACTTCAAAGTATACCATCTTTTTTTCTGGACAATTTTATGGACACCCTGTTTCCATTCTTGTCTTTTAGCAGTTTATTCTTTATCCAGAAGCTAAAGTGTTACAAATGGATATCAGATGATTAAAATCCTTTAATAGTGTCTTATAGACTGAAAATCCAAACTATTTGTCAAGACGTATAAAACCCTTTATCATCTAGCCTTTGTATATTTCTGTTTTCATCTTATCCATTTCCTTTATTCTTATCTACATTATACCTTACCCTCTTTCTGATCCTTGAACATATGAAATTTATTCCTACCTTGAAACTTGTGCAATAGCTATATATTCTGCCTGGATTGTTCTGCCTGGATTGACCGGTTCCTTTTCATTTAGATCACATTTCAGTTGTTTATTTAAGAAGACTTTCTTTTAAAGTACCCCTCCCAAACACATTCTTACACCCTGCTTTATTATCTTTAATCTCTGTTATCACTGTCTGAAAGTATCTTCTGTATTTATGCACCTACTTTTCTATTGTATGTTTTTCTGTTCTAGATTATAAGCTCAGTGATAACAGGGACCTTTGATCTCTTGTTTACTGCTGTATTATCAGTACCTGGAATAATGGCGGGTACATATAAAGTATTCAAGAAATATACTTCTGAATTAAACAAATATTTTCTAGATCTGAGTGTAGAAGTTACTAAATCATTTGAAGAAAAAAGGATTATCTTAATTTTACTGATATTTGCTATGTATTAAAAGTTCATTTAGGTAAACTTTGCTAAAAGTATGAATTAGATACTGGCAACATCTAGAAGTAATAGCTTTTAAAGATCACTTTAACTATTTGAATGTTTTCATGTTTCAGAAAAATTAATTTATTAAAATTAAGATCATTGTACAGTTGAACTGAAACATGAACTCTGTTTTATCTTTTCTTAAAACAGTCAGGTGGATTATCGAGCAAAACTCTGGGCTTGCAACTTTTGTTATCAAAGGAATCAGGTAAGAAAACTCACAATGCAGATGTTAATGCTTTGGTACTAATCTAAATATGTAGAAAAATGTGTATTAAAAAAAGATGAAATAAATTTTCATATGAAAAATATATTTTAGTAACTAAATGATCAGAAAATTATTTGCAGTTTAGAATTTCATTACTCTTTCTGGCAAGTAATTTGTTAAAAATTTCTTTTTTTCCTCCATAGTTTCCACCTACTTATGCTGGTATATCTGAACTGAATCAACCCGCTGAGCTTTTACCTCAGTTTTCTAGCATCGAATATGTAGTTCTGGTAAGAGCACAAGAATAAATCCTTAAGAAGGTTTTAAATATCTAGTAATTTACTTTATACCAAAATAATTGTTAAATTCAGATGAATTAGTGGCCATCATTCTTGATTCTCACATTGAATTGATGGAGCTTTTAAGAGGTAAGAACTGTCTTGGTCAATTTGAATAAGATAATCTCTCTGTTGTAGTCATTTAATGGGTGGCCAGGATATTGGGTGATGGGATGATTTGCTATATTGAGTAGATCAATAAATAGTACAGAGTCAGTGTTGCTGTGTAGTTGGAAGGTTAGTTCAGAAATACTTAAGTCAATATGATGCTAGAACCTGACGGTATATCTCCAAGTCTAATTAATAAAGTTACTCTTGCATTGGTCCTTGTTAAGAAGGTCATTTTTCTTCCCTTTCTGAAAGGCTTTACATAGTTGTTTACATATATAAGTATTAAAGTTATAATATTCTTTGTGAGTGTTGTAGAGAAAGCAGAATATGGATCACTTGAGCCAGTAAGTAATTTGTCCAGCCTACCTAGTTTCCAGGTCTCTTGCAGTAAAATTCAGGTTTAGATAATTATTTTATAAAAATCACCTTATTTTGTTTTTAAGCTTTATAGCTATTGTTTTCTTATTTTGAGAGAAATAAATACTTGTATAGGAGATGAAGCCTCATGCAATTAAATGAAACCAAAAGCTTTTGAAACTATAAATAATGTTTGTAAATTTAGTTTTTCTCTTGATATGTCTTAGATGTCTCTGTGTGTATATAACTTGTTTCATTTCTGAAATAACTTAAGATTGCATTGTATGAATGAACTGTAAATTATTTTTTTGAACTGTAAATTATTTAATTAGTCCTCTACTAATTATGCTTGTATATTGTGCTGAGTGTTAATACATTAACATTATTTTCTTATTATTGCAACATTTTTTAAAAGCGTGGTCCTCAGATGCCTTTGATATTCCTCTATGTGGTTGATACTTGCATGGAAGATGAAGATTTACAAGCCCTGAAAGAATCTATGCAGATGTCATTAAGTCTTTTACCACCTACAGCCTTGGTTGGACTTATTACTTTTGGGAGAATGGTACAGGTTCATGAACTTGGATGTGAGGGCATTTCAAAAAGCTACGTGTTCAGAGGAACAAAAGACCTGTCTGCCAAACAACTTCAGGTAAGCAGCAAGAATGGTAGTTTTAATCTTGTCTGTGGGCATCACTCCATAAATGTCTATAAATGCATTCTGGATAGAAGTTTGTAGAAAATATTTTTATAATAATGACTAATTGTATTATTATCATTGTATTACAAAGCCTTTAAATTTAATGTTGGTATCAGTTTTCCTTCAGTTGTCTGAAATTATTATACAGATTGAACCCCTCACTTTTAATGGTGAAACTGAAGGTATTTTGCTAGAGATTTGAAGGGCTTATGGAATTCATGCTGAAGACTGAGGGAAAGCAACCACAGAATATTACCTTTTGCTTCTTGACATCTCATTTAGGACCTAAACACTTTTTTTTTTTTTTTTTTAAGATTTTATTTCTTTGTCTCAGAGAGAGAGAGAGCACAAGCAGAGGGAGGAGTGGCAGGCAGAGGGAGAAGCAGGCTTCCTGCTGAGCAGGGAGCCCGATGTGGGACTCCATCCCAGGACTCTGGGATCATAACCTGAGCTGAAGACACACGCTTACCTGACTGAGCTGCCCAGGTGTCCCATGACCCAAACACTTTTATTAGGTTTGGCAAAGGGAATATTTTAAGGCTTGAGGGTTATTAATGTATGAACTAAGAGTATATATTTTTTCATACACTAGGACATTTTTATTTTGGGGGCAATTGAAGCTTTTCTTCCAAGATAGGGAGTTATGTGTGGCTTACTAGGATCATGTGGGGATATTTTTCAATATATATTTTTGCTTAGAGATTTTGCTAGACTCTAAGAGTGTGAATGAACATGTGCTTGTATTGGGAGGTTATTAAGAGGGTAAGATTGTTCACGTAAGTATTTTGAAAAACTCTGATTCTGATACAACTCCCAGTTAAGAATAGTTATCCTAGAAGATGATAGGTAAGCCTTGTACAAAGTAGACAGACATGAAGTCAGACTTTGGAGCATCCAGGTAGTCCAAAATGAAAAAGAAAAGAAGATTTTAGGAATGGATTTAAATGATTCTAATTTGAAGCTTGGCACACTGGGGTAGTGGTGCGACAGTTAATTGAGATAGAAAATAGGGAGAAATTTGCAGGTTTGGATGGGGAGGGTAATGAATAGTGAATAATCAGATCATGAATAAGATTTGAGGAGGTGAAGAAAATTAGAGTCTGTTTTTTTTTTTTTTAAGGTTTTATTTATTTATTTGACAGAGATCACGAGTAGGTAGAGAGGCAGGCAGAGAGAGAGGGAAGCAGGCTCCCCAAGGAGCAGAGAGCCCGACGTGGGGCTCAATCCCAGGACTCCAGGATTATGACCCGGGCCAAAGGCAGAGGCTTTAACCCACTGAGCTACCTAGGCACCCCTAGAGTCTGGTCTTTTAAGAGGTTTGTTGAAGGTAAGCTTAGCAATAGTGTGGGAACTTGAGAGAGGGAACTGAGTTCACGGCTTTACTCTAGGAGGGACACTTGAATGTGTTTACACACAGGAGGGAAAGAGAGACTAAAGAGGGTGAGTGAAAGCAGGAGGGAGGTGAGGTTTCAGAAGAGGTGATGGGGATTCCTTCGGGAGCATAGGAAGCAGAGTACCTTGGAGCGCAGGATCATTTGTTTCTATGAGACAGGAGAGAAAGTGGGCAAGTTTTAGTCTTTCTGTGCCTTAGGTTTTTTTTGTTTGTAGAAGAGAGGTAATAATGGAATCTACCTTACTTCGTGGTCATGAAAATTAAATGGATTGTGCCTGTAAGTATTTGCTGTTGTTTTTTTTTTAACTGTAAAATTTTTTTTAAGTTGTTTAATATTAACCTCTGATTGTAGAGTACATTTTACTTAAATTATATAATACATACGTAACACATAATATTCCTCCTTTTTTGTAGCAGGCAATAAATGCCTACAGACTAAATTTTTTTCTCCATTAAAGTGTTTTTATTTTTCTTCTCTGTTTTCTCAAGAAGAGCTTGGTCTTTGCTCCCCAAATAGTCCTGGATTCAAATCTTAAACTCTTCCAGTTATGCGGTCTTGGTTTGATCTCCTTGCTTGTTTTCTTATCCTTTGTGGAAAGGGATAAATACCTGTTTTACAAGGCTGTTATTAGTACTAAGTGAAGTAACATGAGAATACTCAGAATTGTATAAACTCTTACAGGGCTTTCCGGCAAAACCTGGATTAATATATTGCTTTACCACTTACTGGTTGTGTAACCTTTAGCAGGTTATGTAGCCTTTCTGAGTGTCAGTTTTCATTTTTAAAGTAAGGATTAAAAAATCTACTTCATTATTCTGTGAAGAAATAGTGTATATAAGGAATTTGGCACAGAATCTAACGTGCAGTAAGTTGTTAGTAAAAAGTTGTTTTTCCTGCTAGGAGTATAGGAAATACTGTAGTACTAGTTAAGTATTTTTTCTTTCCAAGTATTTATTTAGACTTTATGATTTTCTGTTATATACTTTTACTCTATCACTTCATGACTAAGCATTTCTAAATTCAAGAGTAGAATTTAGAATTTACTATTATTAGTAAAAATAATATTTTCATGTGTCTAGAAAGGAATTTTGTGCACATTTAAAATTCAAAATGAAACTGGCAGTTGCGTTAGGCAGTAGGTTAAAAATTAAGAAATATAGACATACAAGGTATATGTACCTTATAATCCCATTTATATGATTCCCTGTACCTTTCCTTTATAACATTTATTACAATTGCAATTTTATACTTTTTTAGGTATTGATTTTATTAACTGCTATTTGTTTTGTCAGATTTTAATTTCATAAGGTCAGGGACTGTATATATTTTACTACCACTAGATTTTCTGGCACATAGCAGACACTTGAAATATAGTTGCTCAAAGGGGTGGATGAATATAAGTTAAGAAATACATTCAAGTTACCCAGTAACTTTTTGACTATTAATTAGAAAGAAAGTATTTCTGAGCTAGTATCCCTCATTGCTTCTGTAGCACCTTGTACTTTGCTCTCTTATTGTGATTATTTCATTGTACTGTTATTGTTTACCTGACAGTCTCCCCACCTGGACCTTTTGCTTTCTGAGGAAAGAGACTTTATGTTCTTTATTTTTGTGTTCCTACTACTTAGCATAGCACCTTGCACATGTTAAGTAGTTGATACATCTTTGTAGGAGTAATTGAATGGATATCACAGAAATCATCTCTTTACAGGAAATGCTGGGACTCTCTAAAGTACCTGTTACTCAAGCAACACGTGGTCCTCAGGTACAGCAGCCACCTCCTTCCAATAGGTAATAATTAAATATTGCAAAGTTAATTTTACAATTTGTGCAGCTCTTTTAAGCATCCCTTACCCTTAATTTGAACATAGACATTCAGTGATACTATGTTGTTAAATATTTTTAGTAATATAAATACATTGCTTTAGTATATTTTCTAAAGAGATGAGGCAGAATCATGTCACCAAAATGGTTTCTCATCATTACAATGTTAAGGAGTTACTTTAGTTTTGATATGTTCCTAATCTTCTGTTTTTAATTTCTTAAAAACTTTTCTGGTTGAAGGCCGCCAAGCAAAAAAGTAGAGCCTCAAGAGCTTTTCAGGGGTGCCTGGATGGCTCAGTCATTAGGAGTCTGCCTTCGGCTCAGTCCTAGGATTGAGCCCTACTCAGGCTTCCTGCTCCACAGGAAGCCTGCTTCTCCCTCTTCCACTCCCCCAGCTTGTGTTCCCTCTCTCGCTGTCTCTGTCAAGTGAATAAATAAAATCTTTAAAAACAAAACAAAAAAAAGCTTTCATTTTGCTTTTTTAGCCTTTGAGGTAGTTTTTTCCCCCCTAAACTTACTAATCAGAGGTGGTATTACTAAAATTGAGTTGATGTATATTCTTATAATTATTTCAATAGCCTTAAAACGTTCTCGACTGGTAAATAAAAGATGCAGTCCTGATACTCGGTGTGAGAGCGTTTCCCTTATAGCAGTTGTACTCAGACTGTGGTTCTGAACCAGCAGATAGCATCACCTGGGAACTTATTTGAAAATCAGAGTCTTGGACCCTACCCCTGACCTACTGAAACAAAGCTGTGCAACCAGCAATCTATTAAAATAAATCCTCCCACCAATTCTGATGCACACAAAAGTTAGAAAACCATTGGTCTCATTTGCAATGATGTGGATGGAACTAGAGGGTATTATGCTGAGCAAAATAAGTCAATCAGAGAAAGAAAATTGTCATATGATCTCCCTGATATGAGGAACTTAGAGGCAGGGTGGGGGGTGTTGAAGGGTAGGGAAGGAAAAAAATGCAACAAGATGGGATCGGGAGGGAGACAAACCGTAAAAGACTCTTAATCTCACAAAATAAACTGAGGGTTGCTGAGGGGCAAGGGGGGGGTATGGAGAGGGTGGTGGGGTTATGGACATTGGGGAGGGTATGTGCTATGGTGAGTGCTGTGAAGTGTGTAAACCTGTCGATTCACAGACCTGTACTCCTGGGGCTAATAATACATTATATGTTAATAAAAATAATCATAATACAAAAAAGGAAACCATTGGTCTGCTATGTATTTAAATTACTTTTTTCTATTTCTTTCTTTCTTTTTTTTTTTTTTTCTTTTTAAGAGAGAAAGAACAGGTAAGCTGGGGGAGGTGAGGGGAAGAACAGAGGGAAAGAAAGAAGCAGGCTTCCAGCCGAGCATTTGGTTATAGTGTTTCATTAGTCATCACAAGCCTATTCAATTAGAGGTTAATATGAGTTATTTTAATATGATGAACACCTGTCTCCTATTTCATAGAAAAGAGCTTAAACAGAGGCACCTGGGTGGCTCAGTCAGTTAAGCCTCTGTCTTCCATTCAGGTCATGAACCTTCAGGCCCTGTGCCCACGTTGATCTCAGGACCCTGGGATCATGACCTGAGCAAAAGGTAGATGCTTAACCAACTGTGCCACACAGGCACCCCATGCTTTTCTCTTTCTAAAAAAGTAGATAGCTTGGTTCTTAAACTCTTACCCACAAACATTTATAAATGACTTTTTATTTAATTTTGTTTTACAGATTCTTGCAGCCAGTACAGAAAATAGACATGAATCTCACAGATCTTCTGGGAGAACTGCAGCGAGACCCTTGGCCTGTACCACAGGGAAAGAGACCCTTGCGTTCCTCTGGAGTGGCACTCTCCATAGCTGTAGGACTACTTGAGGTAGTGACGATAGCTCTGTTTTGGAATGTAAATGTATATGTATGTGTATCAGTAATATGTACAAGGTAATGTTGAGTGAAAAAAATCAGGTCATTAGGACAGCAAGTATATAATTATATTTGAAGTTGGACCTGCAGGGTATCCTTTTGTGTCCAGAGAGGCACCTAGAAGGGTGTTTGTCCAAATATTAACAGTGGTAGAATAAGGGGAATTTTGCTTTTAAGTAGTATTTGAAAATTTTACACATCTCTTAGGCTTTGTAATTATAGTTAGAACTTTATAATTATAAAAGTGCTTTTTAAAATTGTGAAATGATAGCAAATTTACAGAAAAGTTGTAAAGAACTTTTTTCTCCTTGAACTATTTAAGTTGCTAGTATGTTCTTTTTTTTTTTTTTTTTTTTTTTTTTTTAAAAAATTTTTTTATTTTTTTAAAAGACAGAGATCACGGGTAGGCAGAGAGGCAGGCAGAGAGAGAGAGAAGGGAGGAAGCAGGCTCCCCGCAGAGCAGAGAGCCCGATGCGGGGCTCGATCCCAGCACCCTGGGATCATGACCAGAGCCGAAGGCAGAGGCCTTAACCCACTGAGCCACCCAGGCGCCCCCTAAGTTGCTAGTATGTTCTTAACCCCTTGAATACTTGAGTTGTATTTTCTATAAATGAGGATGTTTTCCTACATAACTACAATACAATTATGAAAATCAGAGTATTAACACTGATACATTACTACCACCTAATTTTCAGACCTCATTCAATTATTTCAATAATTTCTTTTACAAAAGAGATATAGTTCAGAGACATGTATTTAGTGGTATGTCCATTTAGTCTCCTTCGGTCGGGTACAGTTCCTCAGCTTTGCTTTTCCTTTCATGACCTTGATGCTTTGGAAGATTCAGTCCAGTTATTTCACAGATTCTCTCAAATGAGGTTTGTTTTGATGTATCCTCACAATTAGATTGAGGTCTTGCATGATTGGCAGGAGTGTCAGAGAAATGATGCTGTGTTCTCATTACACCCTATGAGGTGACCCATGATTTTCATTTGCCCCATTCAAGGTGATATAATCACCATGATCACTTACTAAGATTGTGTCTGCAGGTTTCTCCACTGTAGAATTACTTTTAAAATTTCTCCTCCTTTTGTGATTAATAAACATTAGATGGTAAGGAACTTGAAACCTAGCAAATATCTCATTCTTCATCAAACTTTCAGTTTATTTATTAATACCATTATGGAGTTTACATCTCCTTCTCTCTGTGTATAGTTACTCTACTTTGTCCCATAATTAGAAAAATTTATATAAGCATTTTAGAAATGCTTCTGTTTGCAATTTCCCTAGTCAGTTACTGGACAAAAATACAGAGCACATTTTTCATGTTATGTTATAGCTTCAGAAAAGAAAGAAATGACAACTTTGTTATCCATTGTGTTTGGATTCCTCAAAATTTCTGGTCTACTGATAGCGGTCTTTCTTATTTTAAAAATAATACCATTTTTTCTCATGTCACTGGTACCTTGGTAGGAAGGAGAGGTAGATTGGAGTGCTTAGTCCATCATCTTGAACTAGAAACGTAAGGTATGCTTGTGTTTTAAACGTAAAAAGTAAAACAACAACAACAAAAAATAGAAGATGTGCTCTTGGGGCGCATGGGTTGCGTAGTGGGTTAAGCCTCTGCCTTCGGCTCGGGTTATGATCTCAGGGTCCTGGGATCGAGCCCCGCATCACATCGGGCTCTCTGCTCAGCAGGGAGCCTGCTTCCCCCTCTCTCTCTGCCTGCTTCTCTGCTACTTGTGATCTGTGTCTGTCAAATGAATAAATAAAATCTAAAAAAAAAAAAAAAGAAGATGCTTTCTTTCACTCTTTCTCTACTTTTCCCAGTCAGGCTTTAAGTAAGTAGAAGAAGCATCCTTGTTTAGAGAGATCAGGTTTATAGATTGTTTTAAAGTTAGGAAGGCACTATTGTTTAGGATAGGATTTCAAAAGAAAGGTATTCAAATAAATACCTTGTTTTTAAATTTCACTTTACAACATTTGGTTATTTCCTGAAAAAATATATGCTTTCCTGTTTTCTAGAAAGAATACATCAAAATTCACTTTCAGAAATGTATATCCTTATATTTTCTTTTAAATTCTTTTGACAAGTTACTTTTTTTCCAATAGTGTACTTTTCCCAACACTGGTGCTCGTATCATGATGTTCATTGGTGGTCCAGCCACTCAAGGGCCCGGAATGGTGGTTGGTGATGAACTGAAGACACCTATAAGATCATGGCATGATATTGAAAAAGACAATGCCAAATATGTTAAAAAGGGAACTAAGGTAATTTTGGTTTTTAAGCCTTTTTGCTTTAGTAGAAAAATTCATTTTATGGAAGAGGAAGTATACAAGTACTTGATAAGTAATCTGATATTGTGAAGTCTGATATTGTTACTACTGTTCAGAATTGGAGAAATAGTGTTTTTTTTTTCCTTGATAATTTTTCTTTTTTTAAATATTTAAAGACTTAGTAGCACCAATAAGTATCTCTTTAAAGAATATTCTAGAGAGAAGCTCTGTGTGCCTTTTTAAATACTCATTTTTAAATAATATTCTGCCTGCTTTGGAAAAATTCCTTGCATTTTCCTTTTTCATTTCCAAGAGGCTGTCTTGTAGATACATACATTGTTCATAGCATGAATAGTCCATTGTTTTCTTGTGAGTTGTTTTCTGTTCATGTTACTTCAATTTTATTTGGGTTTGTGGCAATATATTCTCACTTTTGACTGTGGACTCCCTTGAATTGGTTTTGCTGTTAATGTCCCTTTTTAAAAAAGAGATTCTCTGGAGTTCACAATTTTATTTTAGTTTTGCTGTATTATCTCTTTTCTTTTTGGTAGTCATATATAGTATTTTTAAAAGTATAATAACATGATTTTTGTCACTATTACTGGATGCTTTTTTCCTGCTACCTAATTTCCCTTTTGAGCTTGGAATTTTTATTAGAGCTTCAAAAAGTATTTCTTTTTTTTTTTTTTTTTTTTTTTTAAAGATTTTTTTTTTTTT